GTGACTGTTTGCTGAAGATGCCCAGCACATGCTTTCCCTGCTGGCTCTTCAGCTCTAGGAGCAGAGGCCAGATGTTCGTGCTCTAATCGCTGTGATCCTGGGCACCCAAGATCAACCAGCAGACAAGCTGGATTCAAATGGCCTTCTAGGTATGAATCCGAGAAGCCACAGTAATGATGGTGACACCGTTGCAAAGCTGACTGTGTGCTGAAGATGCCCAGCACATGCTTTCCCTCCTGGCTCTTCGGCTCTGGGAGCAGAGGCCAGACGTTCGTGCCTAATCGCTGTGCCCCTGGGCAGCCGAGAACAAGCTCCGGAGAGGGTGCATTCAAATGGACTTTTAGGTATGAACCCGAGGAGCGACAACAATGATGGTGACACCGTTGCAAAGCTGACTGTGTACTGAAGATGCCCAGCACATGCTTTCCCTCCTGGCTCTTTGACTCTGGGAGCAGAGGCCAAACGTTCGTGATCTACTCACTGTGCTGCTGGGCAGCCGACAGCAAGCTCTGGAGAGGTTGCATTCAAATGCACTTTTAGGTATGAAACCAAGGAGGGACAGCAATGATGGTGACACCGTTGAAAAGATGACTTTGTGCTGAAGATTCTGAGCACCAGCTTTCCCTCCTGGCTCTTCGGCTCTGAGAGCAGAGGCCAAACGTTCGTCCTCTACTAACTGTGCTCCTGGGCAGCCGAGAGCAAGATCCAGATAGGTTGCATTCAAATGGACTTTTAGGTATGAAACCGAGGAGCGACAGCAATGACAGTGACACCGTTGCAAAGCTGACTGTGTGCTGAAGATGCCCAGCACCAGCTTTCCCTCCTGGCTCTTCGGCTCTGGGAGCAGAGGCCAGACGTTCATGCCTAATCACTGTGCTGCTGGGCAGCCGAGAGCAAGCTTTTTAGAGGTTGCATTCAAATGCACTTTTAGGTATGAAACCGAGGAGCGACAGCAATGATGGTGACACTGTTGCAAAGCTGACTGTGTGCTGAAGATGCCCAGCATATGCTTTCCCTGCTGTCTCTTCGGCTCTGGGAGCAGAGGCAAGATGTTCGTGCTCTAATCGCTGTGCTGCTGGGCAGCTGAGAGCAAGGTCCGGAGAGTTTCTATGCAAATGGACTTTTAGGTATGAAACTGAGGAGTGACAGCAATGATGGAGGCACAGTTGCAAAGCTGACTGTATGCTGAATATGCCCAGCACATGCTTTCCCTCCTGGCTCTTTGGCTGTAGCAGCGACTGTTGTTTTAATACAGGAGGCCAGGAAACTGACTTTGGGAAAACACATGTAAGTGTTTGTGCCACATATGGTGACAATTGTCTTGGAACAAAAAGGGGGGTTGTCCTGGGTTCAGCAGTAGCAGTCATGTTTCTCCTTCTTGGTAGCTGGTGCAGTGCAGTGGTTTGACTTTCGGCCTGGGAACAGAGCTGATAGCGATGTTTTGGTTTGGCCAAGGACTTTGTGAGCCTCATGCTCTGCCAGGGAGGAGGGGAAGCCAGGAGGAAGCAGAGACAGGACACCTGACCCAAACTGACCAAAGAGGTATTCCATACCACAGCACGTCATGCCCAGGATGTAACTGGGAGTTAGCCGGAAGGGCTGGGGGACTGCAGGGTTGGAGGAGGTATCGGTCAGAGCTTGGTCGGGCTGAGGGGGGCAAGTTATCGGTCGGCTGGTGCTGAGGTGTTGTATTCTCTTCCCTTGTTATTTCCTTTGTCATTATTATCATTGGTGGTAGCAGTAGTGATTTGTATTATACCTTAGTTACTAAACTGTTCTTATCTCAACCCGTGGGAGTTGCATTCTTTTCGATTCTCCTCTCCGTCCCTCCGGGAGCATGGGGAGGGCAAGAAAGGGGGGGAGGTGAGTGAACGAGTTGCCTGACTGGGTTTAAACCATGACAGGGGTACTGGTTATCCCCTAGCAGGATGATGAAATATCAAGTAATTTTAACAGAACAAGATGATGTAAGCTTAAAGACTACTAACCTGTTAAACCCAACAGCCTTTCTAGGAATGGACCTAGAAGAAGGGATGCTTGAACACAACTGTATAGAGGTCATCAAGCATACATATGCAACTAGAACAGATTTAAAGGATGAACCTCTTGAACAACCTGACTGGGAACTTTTCACAGATGGTAGCAGCTTTGTGGAAAATGGAACACGGTATGCAGGATATGCTGTAACGACACAGCAAAAGATAATTGAAGCAAAAGCGCTACCTCCTGGAAAATCAGCACAACGGGCTGAGCTCATCGCTCTTATGAAAGCACTGGAACTGAGTAACAACAAAAAGGTAAATATCTGGACAGATTTAAAGTACGCGTTCAGCGTAGTACATATACATGGAGCATTATGGAAAGAACGAGGGCTTCTATCTTCTCAAGGGACTAATATAAAATATCAAAAAGAAATTTTGGAATTAATAATTGCTGTGCAAAAGCCTAAACAGGTGGCCATCATGCATTGCAAAGCGCATCAAGGAGGAACTTCAAAGATATCAGAAGGAAATACATTGGCAGACCGGACAGCTCGACAGGTGGCCCGGAAGGTATGGAATATGATGGCACTGATACCTCTCAAGGTAAGCCCACTCTGTACCTATCTCTTACAAGATCCAAACTATTCAAAGGAAGATGAGAGATTGGCAGGCCTGTTAAAGGCTCAAAAGAATTCTGAAGGATGGTATACAACAGTAACTGGACAAATAATAGTGCCACCAGCTATAATGCGAAAAATTCTACAGATCAAACATCAGAAATGTCACTGGGGTGCAGAAGCATTGGTGACTTATTTAAAGCAAGGAATAATTTCCACACAGATGTTAACCATGGCAAAATCAGTAGGGTCAAAATGTGAAATTTGTTTGAAAAATAACCCACTAGTAAGGAAACAAGTTGAAATGGGAAGGATCAGAGTAGGGATGGAACCAAGAGATTATTGGCAAATTGATTTTGTGGAATTACCAAAGACACAAGGGTACAAATACTTATTAGTAGGGGTTGACACCTTTTCTGGATGGCCGGAGGCCCTTCCCTGTCGCACCAATCAGGCAAAAGAGACAGTAAAGTGGTTGCTCAGAGAAATTATTCCATGATTTGGTGTTCCTTTAGGAATATCATCAGACAGAGGCCCACACTTTATCGCAACAATAGTACAGGAGATAAGTAAACTGTTTGGAATATCATGGAATCTACATACTCCCTGGAGACCTTAATCTGGTGGGCAGGTGGAAAAGATGAATCAGACAATAAAAAGGCAAATCGGTAAAATATGCCAAGAGGCCAAAATAAAGTGGCCACAGGCACTGCCCATAGCCTTGTTGCGAATCAGAATAAAACCTAGAAGTGGAATGTCAATAAGCCCCTATGAAATCCTCGATGGAAAACCATATGAGGCACCAGAACCTAATCCCAATACCCACATTAAAGAGAATCAGGATGTTTACAATTATGTGCTATCTCTAGGTAAAACCCTAACCAGACTGAGAAGCACCCTGGTGTGGAACAGGCCGTTGTCCTTGGAAAATCCAGTGCATGACATTCAGCCAGGAGATCAAGTATACATCCGAAATTGGAATGAGGAACCATTAAAAGAAAGGTGGGACGGACCTCATCAAGTACTATTAACAACGTTCACTGCAGTAAAGTTAGAAGGGGTGGATTCTTGGATACATTATACGCAGGTAAAAAGACTCCTTACTTCATCAGGGTGACCGCCAGAGGGGGCTGCGCAAGCGCAAAGGAGGCTGATGTCGTAATAGACTGATGTAGCAATCCTTGATGCATATGTATTAGTCAATGATGTACTCTGTGTTGAATATGTATTAGTTACGAAATTTTTAGTGTATAAATTGCGAACGCGATGTGATGGGAGTCGGAACCAGATTTGGGTGCGTACCCCTGGTTCCCGGTGCCTCAATAAAGCACCTCATATAACCATCCGGGTGGTTATGTGTTTGTCTCGACGCTAACAGTGGCATAAGTGGGGATATGGTGGTCTGGTGGGAAAGCAAGGAGTGAGAGCAATGTGTGTGTCACTGTTGCAAAGCTCACAGTGTGCAGAAGAGGCCCAGCACCAGCTTTCCCTCCTGGCTCTTTGGCTGTGGGAGCAGAGGCCAAACGTTCGTGCTCTTCTCACTGCGCTGCATGGTGGCCAGGAGTGTAAGCCGCATAAGTTGAACGTAGTTAGACATTTAGGTGGGTAATCGAGGAGAGACAGCTGCAGAGCTCGCTATCTGCAGAACATCCCCAGCAGCAGCTTTCTATCCTGGCTCTACAGCAGATATCTGCTGTTTGTTTACACCAATTGCACACTCATTGCGCACTGTTACGGGTTCAGCAGTAGCTGTCATTTTTCTCCTTCTTATTAGCTGGTGTAGTGCTGTGGTTTTGACTTTCAGCCTGAGAACAATACCGATAACTCCAATGCTTTTAGTTGTTGCTCAGTAATGTTTACTCTGACCAAGGACTTTCTGAGTCTCGTTCTCTGTCAGGGAGGAGGGGAAGCCAGGAGGAAGCAGAGACAAGACACTTGACCCCAACTAGCCAAAGAGGTGTTTCATACCACAGCACATCATGACCAGTATATAAACTGGGGGCAGTGACCCGGAAGGGCTGGATCACCGCTCAGCTTGGGCTGGGAATCGGTCAGCAGGTGGTGACCAGTTTTATTCTCTTTCCTTGTTATTCATCTTATCATTATTATTACTGGTGGTAGCAGCAGTGTTTGTGTTACACCTTAGTTACTGGAGTGTTCTTATCTCAACCCGTGGGAGTGACATTCTTTCCATTCTCCTCCCCATCCCTCCAGGAGCGGGGCAGAAGAAGGGGCAGGAGTGAACGAGCAGCAGCGTTGTTCTGGGCTTAAGCATTGCCAGCTGGGCTTAAACCATGACACACATTGCACACCCATTGCACGCTTCTTGCACACTCCTTGCATGGGCATTCCACTTCTTTCCACACACAGGCATCCCTTCAATGATGATCGTTAACGCTCGTTAGCGGTGATTAGGGATGCCTTTAATGGTGGCCTCCTGCCAAAGTGAGACTGGGGGAAGGGGTCCCTCAGGGTAGGGGTTCAGTCTGTGCCTGGTGGGGCTGGGGGTGCTCAGTCGTCCCACTCGTCTTCTTCATCCTCCTCCTGGAGATCTTCACCCTCGTCTGCAGGAATAGAGGGGGTCAGGTGGAGTGTCGAGGGGGGAGCGCAGGGGCTGTGGGGTATGTGTCATCCCCCCCACGAGAGCTCACCCGAGGAGTGGATGGCTCTGCTGCGCTTCTGCATCACATCCATGAGGGCCCCCACCAGCCCCCCAGTGTTGGCGCTGCCACTGCTGCTCTCAGGGCACTCGGGGATCTGAGGGGGGTAAGGTGGGGTCATGGGGGCACACAAACTCCACTAAATCCCCCCACCCCCAGGGGCTCATGCCACACCCCTTGTCCTCGCCCTAGCTCCGGGGACTCATGGGACACCCCAAAACCCCTAGACTGACCTTGTTCAGTGTCACCCCTTGGCGGATCTGGTCCAGCAGTGCCCCCCGCCCTGGGGGGGGTACGGGGCCTCCACCGGAGGTGGCCAGCGGAAGTGGTGGGGGAGGAGGCGGCGGAGCCGCTGTGGCCCTCGGGGGGGCGGGGCCACGTCCAGGGGGCGGAGCCACGGGCCGGGAGGGCGGGGCCACCGCGGGAAGTGTGGGGCCACCGCGGGGCGGTGGCAGGGCCCCCCCTGGCTGTGGGGGCAGCGGGCCGGTGCAGCTGCGGAAGGGACCGGGGGGAAAGGGAGGAGGAGGAGGGGCAGCCCCTCGGCTCGGTGGGAGAGGGGGACCTGTTGGGGGGTGGGAGAGATGTTAATTAGTGTCTCATAATTAGCATGTTAATGAGCACGGGAGGAGGGGGGGCTGACCCTGGCGCTGCAGCTCCTCCCGCACTGCCTGCAGCCCACCCCGTTCAGTGATGAAGTCGTGGATGAGGCGGGAGGTCTCGGCATCAGCCAATTGCACCTCAGTGATGCCAGCCTGGGTGAAGAGTGCCTGGAGAGCAGGGTCCAGCGCCGCCACCTGCGCCCCACAGCTCGTGTCAGCCCCACAGCAGTGCCCCACAGAAGCAGGGGAAGACCAGGCAAAGGAGATACCTACATCAAAGCCGTTACTGGGGTCCCAACCGATGTGACCAACATGCCTGGGATGATGGAGGATGAACAGATGTTGTCCCACAGCTGCGCTCCCAGTGAGGTCTCTCCTCTGCCCTATACAGCCCCTCATGTTCCCATTGCCAGACCCACCTGAAGGCGGACGGGGCACCGATGTCGGCCTTGGAGATCTTCTTGCGGCTTTTCTTCTGCTCCCCGGCTGTGGGACTCGCTGTGGGTCCATCTGTGGGGCTGGGCAGCCCCCGGTAGCGGAATGCCGTGATATCAGGGTTGCTGATGGGCACAGCTGGCAGTAGAGGGGCTGCAGAGGACACGATACATCTGAGTAACTCTCTGTAGGGCAGCAAGACCCCGCTGTGGGGCTGCAAGATGCTGCTGTGGAGCAGACACTCACTGCCATCACCAGGGGCCATGGGGATGGGGGACAGGCTCCCAGGACACTTTGTGGGGAGGACAGGTGGCTGTTGGTGCTGCACCCCACAGGACCCGTTGTGCCCTCCACTTCTGCCTCCCTCAATGCAGGGGGACTCACCAACACCGGGGGCTGGCAGAGGCGGGAGCTGCCGCTTCTCTGGGGAGAGACAGGACGGGGGTGTGTGCGGGGCTGCCCCAGTGCACTGGGGGCGCTGGGGGGCTCACGGGGCTGCTCTCACCCGCCCGCTGCTGCCGCCGGCGCAGCCGCTCCTGGACCAACGCCTCAAAGGCGGCCGCCTCCCCCTCGTCAGCGAAGTTCAGCCCCGCCTGGCCCTCCTGCGCAGCCAATCAGGGCGCTGCCCCATGGGCCCTGCCCACAGGCAGCGAGCCCCGCCCCACAGGTCATAAACCCCAACCCACCCCTTAGCCCCGCCCACATGGCATAAGCTCTTCCCCTACGTTCGTACCCACGCGTAGCAATCCCCGCCCCTTGGTCAAGCCCACATGTGACAAGCCCCGCCCCTCGGTCCCACCCGCTGCCCAGCCTAACGACAGTAGCCCCTCCCACATTCATTTGGCTCCACCCACCCCGAAGCACCGCCCACCCAGCCTCCAAAACCCAGAAGCCCCGGAGATTTCCCTCCCTTTGGCTCCGCCCCTTCCCCGAGGCTCCGCCCCTTCCCTTCCCCGTGGCCCCGCCCACTCACGTAGGAGATGAAGGTGTGGAAGAAGGGGGTGCGGGCCGTGTAGCCCATCCACCCCTGCAGCTCCTGCTCCCAGCGCAGCGCCCCCGCCCGGGACAGAGCCCCCCTCGCAGCCCCCTGTCGGAGACGCCTATCAGAGAGCACTCCTAGAGACCCCAGAAACCCCCGGGACACCCCCTCCAGAGACTCCTATGAGAGACACCCCAGAGAGGCCACCCCCCGGAACCCCCCAGAGATGCCCTGAGAGATCCAGAGACGCCCCCCCAGGGACCCCTATGAGAGGCCCCCTTGAGAGACCCCTCCCCGGGACCACCCCCATTGACCCCCACGAGCCCCCCAGAGACCCCTATGAGAGACTCCCAGATAGCCCAGGACCCTCCCGAGACACAACCCCCCACCCCCACCCCCTCCCCGCCGCGTGTGAGAGACCTCCGGGACTCCCATAGCGCCCCATAGAGACCCCATGCCCCCCCCCCGGCCCCTGCACTCACGCCCAGCTCGTAGAGACGGATGAAGTAGGAGCGCCGGGCACCGTCCCGCACAAGGCAAACGGCGCCGCAGCCGCGCCGGGCCCAGGCCGCCCCCGCGCCTCCCCCCACTCCCCCCGGCTCGGCCACCATGAGCTGCGCCACCGCCGTCACCAGCGCCTGCGGGGACAGCATGACCCCGTAGTGCCCCATAGAGATCCATAGAGACCCCCAGAGAGCATCAGAGAGCGCCCGGAGAGTCCCAGAGAGCTCCCATAGAGGCAGTAGAGCACGTTAGAGACCCATAGAGACCCCTATAGAGCACCAGAGAGAACCATAGAGCCCCCAGAGAAACCAATAGAGCCACAGAGACCCCCATAGAGCCCAAGAGAGCTCTAGAGAGAGACCCCAGAGAGCCCGCAAAACCACCCTTTGCCCCCCCAAACCCCTCCATAGTGCCCCCCAAACCCCCCACAAAATGCTGCCATGGGACCCCCCACTCCTTTAGCCCCCCCCCCCAGCTTCCTCCAGACCCCCATTTATCCCAATGAGACCCCCAAGGAGGCCCCTAAATGCCTTATGGGCCCCATGGGAACCCCCAGTGCCCTTTCCCCCCTCACCACACATTTCCTGCCCAGGAAGTCAAACAGCCGCAGGTTCTCCTGGGGCTGCAGCAGTGCTGAGGGGACGTGGGCCCCGCCCGGTGGCCCCCCCTGGCTCATCCCTGGGTGCGCTGGGACACCCCGGTGCCTGGGACCCCCCCCGTGCCTGGGTCCCTGCGGAGGCCTCTTCCGCCCGGAAGCACCCAAAGGCCTGAGGTGGCAGAGACGTCACCTCCGGGGTGCAGGGAGAACTGGGGGGTACTGTGGGAGGCAATGGGGGATGATGGGGGGCAATGGAGGGTGACAGGAGGCAATGGGAGGCGATAGGAGGTGATGGGAGGGGAACTGGGAACAGCCTCAGCCAATGCAGGCAGTGATGGGACTAAAACTGGGGACACCAGGAGGGACATGGGAACACTCGGAAGATCCCACCCCTCTTATCACACCACAACAGAGACCACTATCGCTTCCCAGCCCATACTGGGACCCCGCCAGCCCATACTGGGAATCCCGAACACCAGTCACAGGCATCAGGTTTATTGAAGTCTCCAGCACCCCACAGATCCCAGATGCTGAAATACCCCCCCAGAGGAGGGGGCAATAAATAAGGAGGGGGTAAAAGGAACCCAGGGCAGGCGGCAGGATCTGGGCTGCATTGGTCCATACTGGAAGAAGCCATATGCGCATTAGATCTCAGTCAGTGCCCCCCACTGGTCCGTACTGTTCTATAGTGGGAGGACACAAGGCCACATGGGTGAAGAACTCCCTCTGGGCTGCCATGCTGGTCCTTACTGGTCCATACTGGGAGTGTTGAAGGCAATGTCGAACCAGCAATTCCAGTTGATGGAGTTGTACTGGTCCAACCCAGACCTGTCCTGGTCCATGATGGTCCATACCGGTCTGGCCCAAGGCAATGCAGATCCAGGAGTTCCCAGCTGGGATGTAGTGGTTCATACTGGTCCATACTGGGGCGCCTCCAAGGGGTCCATTTGTTCCTTATAGGTCCCCTATAGGGGGTCAATGGGGCCCCGCATATGGGCCTACAGGTCCCCGTGTTGACCTGGAAATCTCCAGTGGTCTGGGAGTCCCCAAAGAGGACCAACAGGTCCCCCTGTGCTGTCCATGGGATCCCCCCTTGCCCTATGGGTCCCCATACTGACCTAGGGCCCCATGGTGCCCCCACGTTATCCTATGGGTCCCCATGTGCTGTCCAGGGGGTCCCTACGTTGCCCTATGGCTCCCCATGGTGCCCCCACGTTATCCTATGGGTCCCCATGTGCTGTCCAGGGGGTCCCCACGTTGCCCTATGGCTCCCCATGACACCCCACAACCCCCACACATCACTCACGGCATTCCCCCATTCCCCCCCATTCCCCTTTTGACACACCCCCCCCCATACCTCTCCCCCTCCATTTACCCTGTGCCATGCCCCCCCGGGGGCGTGCCCCCCCAGCCCTCCAGGTAGCGCGCGAAGAGCCCCTTGGCACGGTGCAGGACACGGGGCAGGTGGTGGCGCCGCACCAGGCGGTCAAAGTGCATGGCCACCTCGTTGTAGTCCCCGGCACGTGCCATCACCACCTCCCGCTGCTCCAGCAGCATGGCTAGGCACAGGAAGAGCAGGAAGGGGTTCCCCTGGCCCAGCTCTTCTGGCGGCGGCAGTGGGGCCCCATCGTCCTCCACCCCGACCTCGTCCTCTGAGGAGGAAGAGGAGGAGGAAGAGGAAGAGGAACTTGAGGCTTCCCAAGGCCAAGCACCACCCCAGGGGTCCTCAGCAGGGGTGCTGCCCGCACTGGGGGCCTCATGTAACTCTGTGGGGTACTCCTGTACCTCTATGGGGGCTTCACATAACTCTATCGGATCCTCATGTACCTCTATGGGGTCCTCATGTACCTCTATGGGATCTACACCAACCTCTCTGGGGTCCCCATCAACCTCACTGGGACCTTTACCAACCTGTCCAAGGGAGCAGTAGTAGTTGCCACTGACCTCCTTGAGGGTGTCACCAAGCACATGGAGGAGCTCAGGGTCTCCTCTGATGTCTTTGGGCACATAGGGGTTTTCACGGATCGCCTTGGAAGCACTGTGGTCATGGACGGACTTCTCCAGGGCATCCCGATCTCCACGTGGCTTCTTGGAGACAGGGTGAGCTCCATGGGTCTGCTTGGAGACACCTGGCTCTTGGCCTTCTCCTGTGTCCCTGAGGCCACCGGCATCTTGGCCACCATCACTGGAGGCTTTGGGATGCTCTTGGAGACCCCTGGGGGCATTGGCATCACCCGGGACCTCCCCAGAGCCCTTGTTATTGCCATGGACATCCTGGGAGATCTCCCAGCCCTTTTGGTCAGGACAAGCTTGGCCACCCCCAAAGACCTCAGGCTTCTCGCAGCTGCCCCCAGAACCACCCTTGATGATGTTGGAGCTCTGGAGCCCCTCTTGCTCATCCCCACAGCTCTGGATAACCCTGGAGCTCCCAAGCCCCTCTGGGACACCCCTGGAGCTCCTTGGTGTGTCTTGCTCATCCCCAAACCTCTTGGGAGCCTCTGCGCCACCCACAGAGACCTTGGACCCATCACTGGAGCCCTCCTGCCCATCCACAGCAGCCCCCATGCGCTGCTGCTGCTGCCGGCGGAGGCGCCGGGGGGGCCGTGGCCTCAGCCCGCGCCGCTCCCGCAGCCCCCGGCAAGCCCGGCGTGGGCCCAGGGGAGCCCCAAGGAGGGGAACCCCACCGGGGGGGGGTGGTGGGGCAGGTGGCAGTGAGCTCCAAGTGATCTCCAGCACCCTGAGGGCATCCTCAAAGGCAAACTCACGCTTGAGCTCCAGCAGGAGCCAGCGATAGCAAAAGAGGAGGTCGTGGGCGCCACGGGCAGCCAGGAAGGCCCAGAATGGGGGGTCTGCACGGCGCAGGAGGCGCCGGAGGTGGGCAAAGGCACGGGCCAGGCCCCGGCCACCGGGCCGGAAGCGGGGTCCAAGGCGGCGCATGAGGGAGCAGAAGCAGAGGAAAGCTTGAGCTTCATCATCCAGCACGGCCAAGAGCGGCGCCGCCACGTCCGACATGCCCTGGCAGTAGGAGAGGCGCGGGTGGCCCAGCGCGAAGGTGGTGAGCAGCGCCTGCAGCGCAGCCAAGTGCGGGTGCCCCTCCTCGGGGCCGCCGAAGTAGGGGTGCCCGCGGTCGGTGCGCACCACGTCCTTGCGCACGGCGGCCGCCACAAGCGCCAGCTCGCCAGGGGCCGCCCGTGCCGCCAGCACCTCCTTCAGTGCCGCGTACTCACCCGCCTTGCGGCGCAGGTGAGCCAAGCGCTCCTGCCCTGAGAGCCCCGGCGGGAAGACATTGAGCAGGTAGCGCCACACCACCTGCAGCAGGAAAGGCACAGGGTCAGGGTGCTGTGGGGTGGGGCGGGTGGGGAAGGCTTGAACAAAGTGGTTGGATGGGCAGGGACACATCGATAGAGTGGTGCATGAGCCCCGTCAAAGCTGGGCTTGAACATGCTGCAGGGATGGATTGTTTTCCTCTTTGGACAACCCATTCCAGTGTCCCACCACCTGCACAGGGAGGAACTTCCTTAGATCCAACCTGAACTTGCCCTGTTCCAGTTTGAACGCATCCCCGCTTGCCCTACTGCTGCAGCCCCTGGTGAATGTCCCTCTCCAGCACCCTTAGAGTCCCTTCAGAAGGCAGGAAGGAGCAGAGACATGACCTGCACAGCACCTCATGCCCAGTACAGAAACAGCAGGAAGCCACCCAGAAAGAGCTGAGCTCCCAGCTGGATGTGACACACATCACCCAGGGTGGAGAAAGGGGAGACATAGGGAGTACACACCTTGCGCAGGCCGGGCTCAACACCACCGTGGTAGACGTGGAGCCGCAGGTCATGGGGCCGCAGCAGCCGCCCGCCAGGGCCCAGGTACGTGCGGAGGTCGGCATCGCTCAGTGGGGTGCAGGGGGGGGGCGGCAGTGGGGGTGAGGGGGGGGACCCCTCAGGCCATGCCAGGGCAGCCTGTGCCCGGGCCAGCGTTCTGCCAACCTGCGTGGAATGTGTCCGGGATGGAGCCAGGAGAGGACTGGGAGCATGGGGAGGGGACTGAGAGCACTGGGAATAGGGGGGACACCCTAAGCCCCACTCACCTGTGCCAGCAGGGCCTGGGTGAAGGGCAGAGCTGCAGCCAGCAGCGAGCGGCGCTCAGGGAGCGGCTCCACTGCTGCCACCTCCCGCGGGCTGATGATGTCCCAGTCCTCCAGCAGCGGGCCTGCAGCACCCACAGGTTGGGGTCATTCCACTGGGCACCCAGGCACCAGGGTCGCCTTCCTGACACCCACCCATGGGCACCCTTTATGGATGTTCCCCCTCAGGAGGAGGGAAACAGGAGAAAAGGGGGGATGGGGGCATTAACAGGCACAGGGAGATAGAAGTCTAGGGGGATAGGAACATGGGGGAATAGTGGGAGAGCAGCACAGAGATGGGAATGTAATGGAATAGAGAGATGGGAGTATAGGGCAATAGGGAGATGGGGGCCTCACTGGGGACCAGGCTGTCTTTTCCCTCTGACCCCCCCCCAGATCCTCCCCCCTCACTCTCAGCTGGGGGCCGCACGTCGAGGCGCAGGCGCAGCGCGGGCCGGGCACAGGCGAAGGCAGCCGCCAGGTCCCCATCGCTCAGCAGCGGCACGAAGCTCTCCTGGCCCTGCGGGTCGCGAGCGGCGAAGCTGATGGAGAAGCTCTTCTTCCTGCGGCAGGGGGCACCCGAGACGGGTTCAGTGACTGGGAACACCCCCCCCCGGGGCTCAGGCAGCGGCCGGGGAGGGGCGCCGGGCTCACCCCTGCAGGTCGAAGGCACGGGCCAGGATGTGCTGCAGCACGTCCAGGGATGTGATCTGCGGGTCCACGGCGAAGGAGCGAAACTCGGGCGGCTGCAAGCCCTCGCTCTTCTGCGGCAGGGCGGCAGTAACCGGGGGGGCACCCGGGACGAGCCCCGGAGAACCCCCCCACAAACCCGGCTCTGAGCGGGCCCAACACGGCGGCGGCGTCTCCTCGCCACGGCAACAGTGCCTCAAAGCACACCCTCTCGTTGGCCCGCCCCTTGTTGGCCACGCCCAGGTGATTTAGCTCCGCCCGCCATGTGACGCCACGCCCACTCCCCGAGGCCACGCCCTGAAAATTAGCTCTTCCCACCCCATGAGGCCACGCCCCTCACCTTGACGCGCACGCGGACCACCTCGCACTCCTCCTCCAGCGCGGCCCCGCCCCCCGGAGCCGCCATTGCGGGGGGGGGGAATGGATTTCGGGAGGCAGACGCAGGAGCGGACCCGGGGAAGGCAGCGGGAGGGGAGGCCGGGGGGGAGGGTCGCGCCGCTACCGGACAGTGCGGGTGAAGGTCACGCGGGCCCCCGTCCCCATTAAAACGGCAACGCCACCGATGGGGCCACCCCTCCTTAAAGGGGCTACATCTCGGTAAAGCGACAGCGCCCCCGCCGGCCGGCCCGCGCCCACGGGGGGGGGGGGGGGGTTGTGGTTCGGGGCGGAGCCTGCAGCAGAGGCCCTGGTCCTCAGGGGGGGCCCGGGGGGGCCGCTCGCTCCTTGCTGAGCCGGGCCAGCTCCTGCGACAGCGCCTCCAGGTCCTGCGGGGGAGCAGAGTCAGAGGCCACACCCCTTTCCAGAGCCACGCCCCCTCCGCGCCTCGGCCCCGCCCACCTGCCCGAGGTGCAGGTTCTTGGTGAGCTGCTCCTCCAGCATGTTCTGCAGCTTCTTGTTCATCTCCCGCAGCCCCTCCTCGCCCGGCCCCGCGCCACGGCGGGCCGGCCCCGCGGGCCCTGCCGCCTCTGCGGGGCACAGGGGGCAGGCTCAGCGGTAGGAACAGGAGGAAGTGGGGATGGGGGCATAGAGGGGATAGGGGGCTACAGGGGAATAGGAGGATGGGGGCATAGGGAGAGAGGGAGATGGGAACACGGGGCTAGGAACATAAGAGCATAGGGGATAGGGCCATAGGACAAAAGGAAGACAGGTGTGTAGTGAGATAGGGACAATAGGGGCGCAGGGAGACAGGGAGTAGAAGTGTAGAGGGATATGGAGATGGGAACACAGAGGGGTATGGACATGTGGATACAGAGGGACAGAGAGATGGGGACATAGGGGGATACGGGAATAGTGAGATAGGGAGATAGGAACATACGTAGGGATATAGGAGCAGAGGAGGGTGGGGGCAGCAGGAAGGGGGACACAGGGATCCCAAGGCTCACCCAGGCGGCTGTCACGCACGAAGCTTTGGATGATGGCGCTCTTGCGGCACAGATCCTCCGCCATGGAGGCGCTGCTCACTTCCAAGTGACGGACCTGGGGGGGGGAAGGGGGGGGGCAGGAGAAGGGCTCCATGACACACAAACCCCCCGGTACTCCCCCAACCCCTCCCATTTCTGCCCCCAGTACCTTCTCCTCCAGCAGCCAGCGCTCCTGCTGGCTCTGGGCCAGGCGCTGGAACAGCTCCGCCACCTCCGCAGGGGACAGGCCCCCACCGCTGGGAACCCCCCCTCCACCACTGCCACCCCCAGGGCTCCCTGAGCCCGACTGCAGGGGAAAAGGGTCAGCGGGGGGGGTGAAGTTCTGGGGAGGCAGCACCCAAGGCAAGGCCACAGAGAACCCTCCTCTCCCAGAAACACAACCCCTGCTCTCACCCACCCACCACATGCAAAGGCACCCCCTAAAGCCACGCCCCTCCAAAACCACGTCCCCAAATGGTCACCCCCTTCCCAGAAGCCACGCCCCCAAACCCACAGCCCCTTTAAAGCCACGCCCCGAACTCCCCCCCAAGCCACACCCCTCCAAAGCCACGCCCCCAAACATTAGGTCCCGCCCACCTTCGTGCTACCGGGGGCGGAGCCATCGCGTCCCAGGGAGCTCAGGCTGCTGCTGTCCCCCCCCGGTCCCCGCCCCGGGGACCCCCCCTCCAGCCCCAGCTCCTCCAGCCCTGGGGAGAGGAAACAGTGGTGTCCAGAGAGGCCCCATCCCCCCACACACCACTCCTGCTCTGGGGCCACCAGAGCTCCCAGGGGTGCAGACACCCCCCCACCCCCCAGACTTGTCAGCCTCCCTGTACATTCAGCCACAGACCCCCCTGCACCCAATCACCTCCCACCCCATTGCAGCCCCTAACCTATGGACGCAGGACAGCATCTGCACGGGGGCTCCAGGCATCCAGGACCCCCCACCCTTCCACAGCCCCCCCCCAGCACCCAGCACCCATCAGACCAGAGCGGGTGCGGGTGGGTGCCAACAGCTCCTGCAGCCGCTCCTGCAAGCGGTCAGCCCGGCGCCGCTCCAGCTGCAGCTGCCGCTTCAGGTCCTTCAGCTGGGGACAAGGGGGAGGACACAGAGGGGTCAGGGCCCAGCTGTAGGAGCCTGGACTCTGATTGTCCCCATCCTTTGGGGGTCCCTCACCGCGGCACTGCCCTTCTTCTCCAGGATGCGCTGCCCGTCCTGAACGTCCTTCAGCTCCTGGGGGGAATAACGATGGTCAGGGGAAGTTAGGGGGCCCCAGAGAGCATTACTGGGGGTGCTGAAAGGTCACTGGGGAGCTTTGGGGTACCTGGCGCAGTGCTTGGCCCTCAGCCTCCTGCAGCTCCCGTTGCCGCTCAGCATTCCCCAGTGCCACCTGCAGCTCCCCCACACGGCCCTGGGGATGAGGGGGGTGTCACTGTGCCACCTACAGGCTCTATAGGACTCTACAAGGCCATAGCAGAGAGGGTGGGGGCCGCAGAACATCCCCATTGTGCTCCCTTAGACCTCGAGGTGCCATACAACACCCTAAGACTGATACAAGTCGATAGGATCCTGCAGCATTACAGGGTCCCTACATCAGCTATGCCCTCCACAATTGACCCTATGGGCCCTATAGGTGCCCCACACCCACCCTGCCCCACACACAATACATAACAGCACCTCCAGCTTTGAGACAGCCACACGGAGACCCCTACATCCCTCTGTCCCCTACAGAACCCAAAGGACTTTCTGGAGGCATAGGGAACCTGATGATCTCTGCAGCACCCCGTGGTCACTGCAGTGATGTGCACATTGCACAGCTCTAGAAGGGTACCCAGAGCCCCTCTGGGGGGCTCCCTATAGCCCCCCCCATCACCTCCAGCTCAACCCGGTGCTGCTTGGCTGCTGCCTGCTCTTGCTCCCGCCGCTCGAGCTGCTCCTGTGGGAACAGGGCAGTGGGGCCAGGATGGGCACCTGGAATGGGAGGGGCAGAGGGAACAGGGGGACACGGGGGGGGGGGGGAGGGGGCAGTCCCTGACCTGCATCTGCTGCCGCCGCCGCTCGCTCTCCTCCCAGGCGGCCTCAGCCTCACTCAGGCGCTGCCGCAGCCCCTCCCGCTCCTCCACACACGCCTGCAAGACACATGTGTACATACGTGTATGTTCATGTACATATCTACACCTACATACATGTACATTCGTGTACATACCTACACCTACATATAGATACATGTACATCTATGTACACGGCTACACCTACATACACGTGCATTTACATTCATGTCCGTATCTACATACATGAACATACACATACATATGTGTACATATACATACATGCACGTGCAGCCATTACGCATGTGTATCCACTGTGTGCTCCAAACCAAGCCATAAAGACCCAAAACCACCCCCCAGGGACCCCAAATTGTCCATAGGGACCCCAACCCCCCCCAGCCCTACCTGGAGTTGGCTGTCGAGAGCATCGCGCTGTGCTTGAGCCTCCTGCAGGTCCTGGGCCAGGGCTCCACTTCGCTCCCGCAGCCCCACCTCCTCCTGCCACCCCACACAGCACTCTATAGGGCCCTATAGGGCCCAGCAGAGCTGCCCAGAGCTGTATGGAGCTGTATAGAGATGCTCCAGGCTGCTCTGGGACCACCAGCTACTATATAGGGCTGGAGACACTCTACAGATCCCCTATGGAGCTGGTCCAGAACTCCCCCTGCACACTAAAGTGCTCCCCAGGAACCCCTATACCATAGGGCAGCCATTGGAGCCCCCCCAGCAACCACTGGGTGGCCCCACCTTGGCTGCGGCCTCCAGTTCCTGCTGCAGCTGCTGGATCCGGGTCTGGAGCTCCCGGAATTCCTCATCCCTTTGAGCCCGAAGCTTCTCCAGCTCCAGCCTGGGGGGCAAAAGGGAGGGTCCAGGCACTGGGAGGTTCCCAGCATCCCAAATGGGGTCCCCACTGGGGTCACTCACTGCTGATCCCTGAGCAATGTCTCCTTCTCCACTTCCATCTGGAGTGAACTGGGAGAGAAAAGAGGGGGAAATAGGGAATAGAAGCAGGAAAAGCCTATGGCGGGGGCTGGGGGAAGCAGGGATGCACTCCCTAGTGACGGGATCGCAGGATCTCACCTATTCTCTTGCTTCCGCAGCTTCTCCATCAGCTGGGAATGGGGATACACGAATCACTACTGTGGAGGGGGAATCAGCCCCCTCAGCCCTCCCTCCCCAGAGAGTTTCCACCAATCCCTATGGGACACTGAACCCCCCCCAGTCTCTAAGGGACACCCCCAAACTCCCTGGGGGGCTGCAGCACTCACCTCAGCCACCTCTGCCTGCAGCTGGGCCACCTCTGCCTGCAAGAAACCCCCCCAGAAAGGTGTGCATCCTGCAACAGACCCCCCATAAACCCCACAGACCCCCATACACTCCCCCCAATGTACCTGAGGTGCTGGGGGGGGAGCATCAGTCCCAGTCCCCTCTTCAGCTGGTGGTGGCTCCTTGGGGGGGTTCAGGGGGGCTGCAAGGGGAGGGTCAGTCCCATAACCCCTCTATAGGGCCCTAGAACCCCCTCCAAGTACCCCCTCACCATCTGTATGGGCCAAAGGGGCTCCATTGTCACCAGTGGCCCCATCCTGGGGAGGGTCCTGGGGGGGTCCTGGGGCTCCCCCCTCCTGCAGCCGCCGGTTCTCCTGCTCCAGGCCCTCGATCTGTGCACAGAGCTGAACCCCCCCCCCCTTGGGGTGAGGCCAAGGTGGGAACCCCAAGGAGGTATAGGGGGACTGTAGGGTGTATGGGGGGGTCTATGGGTTACTCAGGGTGTCTATGGGGGCTGACACTGGGAGGCATTCAGGACTCTACGGTGGCACTGGGGGCCTCAGGAGGGCATTAGGACGGGGTGGGGGGTGGGGTACTGGGTGCCAGCACCCACCTTGGCCAGCTCCCGCAGGAGGGTGCTGTTCTGCAGCCGGAAATCATCCTCCTGGCTCTGCAGCTTCCCCTGCAGCATCCGTGTCTCGCCCAGCAGCGCTTCCACCTCCTGCAGGGCACAACGGCACCCATAGGCACCCACAGGCACCCACAGCACCCACTGCCATCCCCCAGCACCCACCTGCGCTTTCTTGCTCTTACTGAGGGCCTACGAGACAAACGGAGGCGGTCACACCGGGCCCAGAAGGGCCACACCGGGGCCGGTCGCCCCGAGGACCCGCCAGGGGCCGCTCTCACCTTGTTGGCCTTGGCCAGGTCCCGGTCGAGCGCCTGCACCCGCTGCCTCAGCGCCGACAGCTCTGGGGGGGGAACACGGACACGAACGGGCCTTGAGCGGCAGCGCCAGGACCCCATCCCCTCCCGGTACGGCCCCCCCCCCGGGTACCAGCGCCGTTCTTCCGCAGCTCGTCCGAGAGGCGGTAGTTCTCACTCCGGAGCTGCAGCAGCTGCTCCTGGCGGAGACGGGACGGGACGGGGTGAGCGGCGGCGGCGGGACTCGAGCACGATCCGAACGAAGCCCGAGCGGGACCCGAAACGGACCCGAGCGGGACTCGAACCGGACCCGAACGGGGCCCGAGCGTGACCCGAACCGGACCCGAGCGGGACCCGAACCGGACCCGAGCGCGGCCGAGGCTTCACCTGCATCCGCTGGAACTCCTCCGTCGACAGCGCCTGCGCCATCTTGGCGCGCGGGCGGCGCCGTCGGGGTCCGCCCCCTCCCGTTCCGGCGGCGCGGAAATGGCGTCACGACGGTGCCATGGAGCTCGGGGTGGAGCGGGCATGGCTCATCATAACGATGACTTCCGCGTGCCCGTAAAGCCCTTATAGCCCCGCCCCCCCGCGGGCTGTAGGGCTCCGCAGAGCCCGTAAGGCGCCTATGGATGCTACAGATCTGCCTCTATAGGGGTCACAGGGACACCACACCCCAGATCTATAGGGGCCATACAGCCCCCCCACGTATCACAGCCCCAGGGACCGCAAACCGCCTTCAGCGACCCCCAAGCTCTACAGGCACCCCTATAGATTGCTCTATAGGGATCCCCCTGGATTTATAGAGTCCGTAGGACCCTACAAGCTCTACAGAAACCCCAACACGCACACACAGCACCGGGCGGCTCCTCGTTAACAAACGTTTATTTCCCACGGGACCGTTTCCGTACAAAACCGGGGGGGGGTAGCGGGTGAGCGGCCCCTTTAAGAGGAGCCGGTGGGCGGGGTCGGCAGGAGAGGGCGGGGTTTGTGTGAGTGCCAAAAGAGAGGGGCGGGACGTGACACTGAGGGCCCAGCCCTCAGGAGCCCGCTGATAGGCAGACAGCCAGGAAGGGGCGGGGCCCGACGGGGGTGGGGCCAAGGCTTCCCTGAGGGGCGGGGTCAAGGAGACACCTTAAAAGGGCCACACAGTGGGAGGACCTCGCCAATGGGCGATGCCCGGTTGAGGTCCCTCAAGGTGGGTCCACCAATGGAGCGTCCTAAAAGGGCAAGACAGTGGCCACACCTTAAGGCCACTGCCAGCCTTAAGAAGCGCTCGCCCGTTTAAAAAGCCTCATCACGGCACCCTGGGGGGCCCTCCTGAACCAACCATCGGGGTGTTGGGCATGGTGGGGTGGGGGCCTTAAAAGGGCCGCACCTGAAGGGTCTTAAAGGGGCAGCGCTCAGGGCTCGTCTTCCATGCTGAGGCTGCTGCGGGGGCTGGAGGCACGGGAGGGGCCCGGGGAGGCGAGGAGGGCGCCAGGGGGTCCGAGAGGGGACAGAGCCCCCCCCTCGTCCATGAGGATGTCATCGAAGGTCCCATCTGGCCCACCTAGCCCCAGGGGTAGGCCCAGGCCGGGGGGCAGGTCCTCGGCCACCGCCAGGTCTAGGAGGCACTGGGGCGTGGGGGGACCCCCGGGGGGAAAAGGGGGGCCCCCAGGGGCCTCCTCACACCCCCCCTCGGCTGCTGGTGCCAGCGGAGGGATGAGGGGGAGCCCGTGGAGCTGTGCCTGCAGCTCCAGCTCCTGGGGGGAGGCAGCGGGGTTAGAGAGACATGGGGTCCAAACCCCCTCATGGGCCCCAAACACCTGCCATGGGCCCCAAAATAGCCCTCAGACCCAGAGATACCCCTAGATCCCAACCAATTCTCCCAACAACCCTCCTATTTCCCCAACTCTGCTCCCCCTGACACCATGTGCACTCCCTTGTAGTGAGCTGACAGCTCCATAACAAGCCCAGAACCCCCCACTTCTGCCCATCCCAGCCCCATAGCCCCCCAGGAACCTGTAGACTCCCATCCCAGTCTCACACACCCCCCAGTTTTCCCCTTCCCAGCCCCATAGAGCAACCCCACAGACCTGGACCCGGAGCTGGAGGCTCCGGTTTGCCTGCTCCAGGCGCTGCTGGTGCAATTCCAGCTCTCGAGAACGCTGTGTCTCCTTCTGCAGCTTCCGGATATAATCCACTGAGGCTTTCAGGATGGTGCCCTTGTTCCAGCGCATCTCCCTATGGTATCGGGACGCTGTTGGGGCCACCATAGGGACCCTCCTACAACCCACATAGGGTTCTCAGTGCCCCCAACCATTGGATCCCTCAGGGAGGGGTATCCCCACTCACGGATCATTGGATTTTGGGATGAGGGTCCCCAGCTCCTTGATACGGTCATTGATGTTAAAGCGTCGGCGCCGCTCAACTGGGATAAAAGGGGAAGGTGCGAGCCTCATATTATGCATGTCCCCCTCTACCCAGACCCACAACCTCCCCCAGGCCTCCTGCTCACTCAGGTTGTGGTTGTCCTTCTTCTGGCGCTCCTTCAGCAACGCCTTCGCCTCCGTTTCTGAAAAAGTTTGGGGTTGGAACTATAAGGGAAGCCCAACGCCTCCCGCCCCATAGGGGCCCCATTGCACCTCCCTGACCCATAGGGACACCCTAGTTTCCCCCCAAGCCTTCTCTGCTGCACAGTGATCCCCAGGGCCTTCCCATACCCCAGAGGGAAACCCCTCTCAGTCCCCTTCCAGCCACAGAAAGGCCCCCACACACACCCAATAGGACCCTTGCTGCCCTTCCCTGCCCCATAGCCCTCACACAGACCATAGTGACACCACCCCTCCCAGACCCCTCTAGGCCACATAAGGACCCCTCCCCCCAGTAAGCCCCTTAGGGTCCCCCCATACCTGAAAGCTCGGCCTTGACGCGGGGCAGCTCGGCCGGGCAGGAGCTGCTGCCTCCCTGGGGGGGGCTGAACACCTCCAGCAGGGGCGCAGGGGCCGGGAGCTACCGGGGGGGGCGTGGTCAGCAAGGTCACGCCCCCATAAACCACCCCCCAATAGCTCACTCCCGATAGGGGGGGCTATGCCCCCCCCCCCCCCCCACTGCGGCTGCAGCCAATAAGGCGTGTTGTCACGCCCCCCCGGTGAAAAAGGGCGCGACTTGCTGCAGGCCACGCCCTCAAAAGCCCTTAAAGCGGCCACACACCGTGCTAGGGAGCTGGAGGCCGCCCTCGGCGGGGCCGAAGCTGAGCAGCTCGTCATAGCTGGACTCGAGGCTGATGATCTCATCAATGACATCATCGATCTGCAGAGCAGAAAGGACAAAACTGCAAACACCACCCTGGTGGCCAGGATCCCCCCACGCATGACATCACAGCCACCCTGTGTGATGTCACAGCCCTCCATGTGACATTGCAGTCCCCCCATGTGACATCACAGCCACCCTCTATGACATCACAACCATTCTATGTGACATCACAGCCCTCCCACGTGACAACACACCCACCCCATGTGACATAGCATCCTTTCATATTACCTTATGGCCCCCCACATATCACAGCTCCCCATATGACATCACAGCCTCCCCCCCCGCAGCCCCCTCCATTCCTCACCTCCTTCTCAAAGCCGGGCCCGATGTGGAGCAGGGTGAGGGGGCTGTGGGGTGCGGGGGGGGCCGGGGGGGGCCCGGGGGGGCTGGGGGGCCCGCGGCCCAGTGCAGAGGTGAGGTACTGCCGGACCTGCTGCCGCTGCGCCGCTCGCAGGTGGTACCGGGTCGGGTTCTCCAGGTGGGTCTGGACCTGGGGGGACACAAGGGGGGTAAGGGACCCCCTTCCCACAGCCCACCATATCCCTCTGCCCCAGAGCCCCCCCCATCCCCCTGCTCCACAGACCTCCCCATATCCCCCTGTCCCCCCCAATTTCACCCCACAGCTCACGCCCCCACCTCACCCCATGTGCCCCTATGGGGGGGGGTCTCACCTTGAGCACCTCAGGGGGCACATGGGGGGGTGCCCGCGGTTGGGGGGGCCCCCCCACGGCAATGGCGGGGGAAGGCCCGGGGGCCGGCGAGGGGCCAGGGGGGGGGTCCCTTCGCTCACGTTGCTCCTGCTCCTGTGCCTGTGCCCGCATCAGCTGCTGCCGCAGCAGCACCCGCGATGAGGGGGGAGCCGCGGTGGGGGCAGCCATGGCAGCAGGGGGGGCCGGGCCCGGGCTGCAATACGGGGGGGGGGGGTTAATGGGGGTGTATAGAGGGGATGGGGGGTTATGGGGGGGTTCACAGGTACCTGTGGGGCAGGGGTTGGCTCTTGAGGCAATAGAAGGTGCTGGGGGAGTCTCCAGAGGGGGGGGCCGCGGGGGGGTCGCTGGGGGGGTCTACCCCCGGGGGGTCCCACTCGATGTCAGCCACGATCCCTGACTCAGGCAGCACGGAGCTCAGGCTGTGGGGAAGCAGGAACCAGAGGGAGCATGGACAGCTCTGAATGCCCCATAGACTCCCATAGACTCCATAGACTCCATAGAGTGCCTTGAGACACCGGAGAACTCCTGAGACCCCACAGACACACACACAGACCCCCCCTGACCACTTACAGGGCCCCACAGACCCCCTAAACACCCCACAGACCCCCTGACTCTCCACAGACCCCCAGCGGCCCCACAGCTTCCTAAAGTTCTGCACAGAACCCCTGAGCCCCCTATAGACCCCCACAGACCCCCTCAGCACCCCACAGACCTCCACAGACTCCCACAGCCCCCCCATATGGGGGCCCCATAGCTCCCCATAAAACTCCAGCAGCCCCATAGCCCCCCACACGTCCCTTGAGCCCCCCAATGGCACCACAGCCCCCATCAGTCCCGCCTTAACCCCCCTGTAACCTCCCCCCAGCTCCGCCATGGGGCAGCCCCCCCTCACCTGAGCAGCCGGAGGGTGTCGGGGGTGCTGGGCCCCTCCAGCAACACATAGACCGTCGGGCGCCCGGGGGACGGCGGGGCGGCAGGGGTCCCCTCAGTCGCCCCACGGGACATCGCCCCCCCCCGCGCCCCACGGCGCCGCTCAGCAGCTCCCTATGGGACCGGGGGGGGCGGGACGGGACACACGCTATGGGTCTGAAAGAGCTGCGGGGGGGGAGTCCCTATGGTGCTGGGGGACTCTATGGGGCAGGACGGGCTGCGAATCGCTGTGGGCCTTGGGGGGGCTGCGGAGCGCGAGGAGTCCCTATGGGGCCGGGGGCGTCTCTAGGGGTCCCTGCGGGGCCGGGGGGAGCCTCTATGGGTCCCGTTGCCCCACTCCAGCTCTTTCGGGCTGGGGCAGGAAGCGCCAAGGGGGGGGGGGCGGGCAGGAAGTGACATCACGGGGCGGGGGGTGCCGCAGGGGGGACCCCGACACCCGCCCGTGGCCCGCGGAGGCCTGAGAGGAACCGGGGCCGCCGCCACAGCAGCTCCCGAGCCCCGGGGGGAGCGGGGCCCCCCCCCGACACCGGGACCCCCCCAGCACCGGGACCCCCCGGAGGTGAGATGTGGACGGGGCATCCCGGGGCAATGTGGGAAACGGGGACCCCCCGCCCTCGTCGTGGGGCCGGGGGGAGCCTCGGGCCTGCGGCAATGGGGGGCACCCGGAAGCCCTTTGAGCGGGGGGCTCCATTCATTGGTCCCTCGGGAGGGGGGGAGCTGAAGGCCCTTTGGGGGGGTCCCGGCAATGGGTCCTTATGGGGGAGGACCCCGAGAGCTTTTAATGGGGGGAGACCCGGCCGTTGGTCAATGGGGGGGGGAACCGGAAGCCGTCTGGGAGGGGGCCCCGGGTCCTTTATGGGGGTGCCCCGGCCAGGGGTCAATCGGGGGTTTCCCAGAGACCTTTTTGGGGCCGTTGAGGGGCGGTGGGGGGTAGGGGAGGGGCCAGAGGCGGAAGTGGAGGAAAAGGAGCAGGGACATGGGGCTGGGCACTGACCCCTGACCCCCGACCTCTGACCCCCGCAGCAGCTCAGGGGCGGGGGCCCCAGACCCCCCCATGGGATGGAGCTGAGGGGCCACATCCTGCCCCCCGGCACTCACAGCCCCGCAGGTACGTGACCTCTGACCCCTGCTGTCTTGTGGTGCCCCTGACCTCTGCCCTTTGGAGACCCCAAGTGCCCCTTGACCCCTGGTAGCTTGTGGGGACCCTGACCTGTGGTCATCGTGACTCCTGTCCATGGTGCCCCTTGACCTCTGACCTGACACCATGGCCCTGACCTCTGTTCCGGTGACCCATGATGACCCTTGACCCCTGCACCGGTGCTACCTGTCCTAGTGCCTCTGACCGTGGTGCCTGCGCTGGTACCTGGACCGGTGCTGAGGCAGAGTCACGGTACCGGTGCTGTCTGGGTGCCGGTGCCGGTGCTGATGCGGTGTCACAATACTGGTGCTATCCCGGTGCCGGTGCTGTGGCGGTGTCAGGGTGCCAGTGCCGTCCCGGTGCCAGTCCCGGTACCGGTGCTGAGGCGGTGTCAGGGTGCCGGTGCTGCAGCAGTGTCACGGTGCTAATGCTGACGCTGGTCCCGGTGCAGGCCCTGTCGCGGGGCGGCTTCAGGAGCTGCGGGAGCGGCAGCGGGGGCTGCGTCAAGCACTGGGGCTGCGCCTGCGGGAGCTGCGGCGCCTCTGCCTGCAGGAGGCCGTGAGTGACTCCCCTGGGACCCCCACGTTGCCCCCCCCATTGCACTCCATCCCCTCTGCATCACCCCTCCATCACCCCCCATTGCATCCATCACCCCCCACAGCTTCCTGACAGCCCCCATCCACTCCCAGACCCCCCCAATGATCCCTCCCATCCCCTCCTGACCCTCCATAAGGAATCCCCCCATCCCCTCCCCATTGGCACCTTCCTGTCCCACCATCCCTCCCGACCCCCCCCCAATGAGCCCCCCCTTCCCCTCCCACCCCCCCATGGCCCCCCCCTGTGCACAGGAGCTGACGGGGAAGCTGCCCCCCGAGTACCCACTGGAGCCTGGGGAGCGGCCGCAGGCCCCCCCCCCCCGCCGCCGGGCCCCCCCCCGAGGCCCCCTCCCTGAGGTAAGTGAGGGGCAATAGGGGGGGACACAAGGGGCTGGCGGGGAGAGGGGGGGAGGCCAAAATGTGCCCCCCCACTGTGGGGGACACATCTTGGCCCCCACGTGTTCCTGTCCCACGCTGTCCCTATTCTTTGCTGTCCCCATCCCTGTCTCGTGCTGCCTTTGTCTCCTGGTGTTCCTGTCCCTATCCCTGGCACAATCCTTGTCCCTGTCCCATGCTGACCTTGTCCCTGTTGCTGCCCTGTCCCCATCCCACACCATCCCTGTCTGTGCCCATGTTCCTGTTGTGTCCTTTGTCCCACTCTGTTCTTTTCTCTTGATATCGATATCCCTGTCACTGTTGCGGTCTCTATCCCATGTTGCCCCTGTCTCTACCCTCTGGCGTTCTTGTTCTTGTCCTCTGATGTCCGTGTCCCTGACCTTATCCCATGCTGCCCCTGCCCTACGCTATCCCTGTGCTCTCCCTGTCCTTTGGTGTTGTCTGTGCCACGGTGTCCTCTGCCCTGTGCTTACTGTGTCCCCATTTCTGTCCCTGTCCTCATCCCACCCCGTGTCCCGTGGTACCCCTGTTCCTGCCTCTGTCCTTGTGCCCATCCCCTGGTATCCCCATCCCCGCCGCTTCCCCGCAGGCGCCGCGCTCGGCCCGCCGGGAGGTGGCGCTGCAGGTGCAGGTGGTGGAGGCCGCGCGGCGCCTGGCGGCGGCCCCGGGACTCGCCCCCGAGCAGCGCCGGCGGCGGCAGCGGCTGCAGGCGGAGGCGGCGCAGAGGCTGCGGCAGCTCCGAGCGCAGCTGGGACCCGGCAACGGTGCGGGGGCACCTGGGGGGGGTCTTATAGCAAGGGGGGAGCAGTTGGGGGGTCCCCATAGAACCAGAGGGGGACATGGGGGTCTCCAGACCCATGGAGAGGACCTAGGGGTACCCAAAGCACAGGGCAGGGGGCACAGGGGTCCCAGAGCATTGGGGGGGGCAAGTTTGGGGGGTCCCCATTGACACTGATCCCCCCTCTTCAACCTCCCCAGATGAGAACGGGTCCCTCTGTGATCTGCCCATGCTGGAGAATGGTGAGTGATGGACTGGGGGCTATGGGGTGACTGGGGGAGGCCATAGGGCAATTGCAGCCTGTCTGGGGGTGTGCCTGTGTCTCACCGCTGTCCCCTCTCTCCAGGGGCCCTGCCCACCCCAAAGCCCACCCCAGTGGCCCCTGGCCGCCCCTCACCCCCCCGAGCCAGTCCCGGCAGCCCCGAGCACCGGCCCCCCTGGGCCCCCGATGGGCGCCGCAGCTCACTCGCCAGCCCTGCCAGGTACGTGTGTGTGCCCCCCCCATAGAACCCCACAGAACCGACTTGGGGGTCCCTGTCGCCCCATTGATGTGATGTTTTGCCCCCTCCCCAGCCCGGCGCGGACCTTGCCCCGCAGCGCATCCAGCTTCGAGGGCCGCAGCGTCCCGGCCACCCCAGTGCTGGCGCGGAGCCCCTGCACCCGCGGGCACCCACTGTGCCGGTGGGTGCTGCTGGGTAGCAGGGATAGTTCATGGAGGGTGACTGGGGGGGGCTGTGGGGCAACTGGGGGGTTATGGGGTAATTTGGGGGGTCTATGGGGAAATTAGGGGGGCCCATGGGGCAACTTAAGGGGTCTATAGAGTAATTTAGGGGCGCTATGGGATAATTTAAGAGCTTGCTGGGGCCATATGGGGAACCTATGGGGCACTTGTATGGGGGAGTATCCAGGGGTTTCTCTCACTGTCGTGTCCCCCCACCAGCCCTGAGGCCCCGGGGCTGCCCCCCCGGCCCTGGTCGGGCAGCCAGGACTCACAGTTGGGGGGGCCCCCAGTGCCACCCCCCCCTGCCCAGGCGCCCCGCACCCGCCGCAGCAACAGCTCCGAGGCCTTGATCGACTGGGGGGGCAGCGGGGGGGGAGGCCCGCACCCCGACAGCGCTGCCCCCCCCCAACCCGTGCCCCCCACCTCGGCAGAGCAGCGCCGCAGCCAGAAGTGGTTGGCACTGGAGGGGCTGCGGGACTGGTACCTGCGGCATACAGGGACCCCCCCCCGCCTGCTGCCCCCCCCCGGCCCTGCATGGGCCGCCCCCCGCCGCAGAGACCCCCCCCCTCCCGGCCTTCCCCACTCGCTCAGCTACGCCGGGGCCCTGGCGCCCAGGTACGGCCACCCCCGTGGGTACCGGGCACCCCTGTTCTAAGGGGGGGGTGATTTGAGGACCCCCCCACCCATAGCAGGGAGGGGGGAATAGGTGTTGGGGATGCATTGGGTGCCCCCCTCCCCCGTCCTTTGGGGGTGTCCATTGGGTGCCCCCCCCATCCATTGGGGCTGTCAAGGGTGAATTGGGCCCCCTTATGAGGTGAGGGCATCAATAGCTCTTGGTTGCCCTCCCCTTGCCCCCCCCCAGTCCCATCCTTAATATCCCCAAATTGGGGACCCCTCAAACCCCTTCAAACCACCCCTATGAGCCCCGCTATCACTACCCCAGACCCTCCCCTCCCCCAGACCCCCCCATTTCAGGGGTCTCTGCCCCATTCCCCCACTCTTCTCCATTGTCCCTTTCTGGGGGGGGGGTCTCTCCTGCCCCCCCTTTTCTTATCTGTGCTGAGCTCTTGGGTTCCGGGGGCAGTCCCTATCCCTGGCTTGGGGGGGGGGACGACACAGAGGAGTCCAGGGCTATTTCAGTGGGCTAATTCCTGTTTTTCTTCTCTTTTTCTTTTTTTTCCCTCTTTTTCCTCCTTTTTATTCTCCTTTTTCTGTCTCTCCCTCATTCCCCCACCCCCACAGGGTCTCAGGGGACCCCCCACCTGTTCCCGCCCCCCCTCCAACCCCCCCGGACCCACAGCCCCCTGGCACCCTGGTGTGACCCCCTCCCCTTTGACCGCTCCATGACCCCCACCAACCCTGCCCCCCCCCGGCCGCTCCTGGCGAGCAGCCGCTTTGGGGGGGCCCCCATCGCATGCCCCCCCCCCACGAGAGCGGGGTCCGGCTGGGGTGGGGGGGCACAGATGGGTTCAATACAAGGGATCTGCTACCATTCATTGACCTGCCTGGCTCCTTCTTCAGGGGGGTTCTCCCTGCTTGTGTGGCCCCATATGGATGCCATACCTTCCTATGGGCAGGGGGGGCAAGGGGGTTCTCTTACATACTATGCACCTTCGGAACAGGGCTGGATCACTTACACAGTGTCGGCAGGATGTACAGGGCACCTATGGCCCCTTGGGGGGTATATGAACCCCTGAAGACATCTATATGTGCCCCAGCGCTGTCCCTATGTCGCTGGTGGGAGTTCTGTGTGGGCCCTCTTACATCCTTGCAGAGCAGGTTCATATAGCTCCTGTACAGCCAGGAGGTCTATAGGGCCCATGGGAGGAAGCCTGTGGACTCCAGTGGGGGTCCGCAGGGCCCTATAGACCGGGCAGTGCCCATAGGTCCTATAGGGAACATGGGGAGAGCCTCAGTGGACGTAAGCCCCGTCCCCGGGGTGAAGCCCAGGCCCCCCCGTTTAACCCCTCCCCTAAGATAAGCCCCGCCCTATCACCAAGCCCACTCCTCCCCCTGGCTCCACATCTCCCCAGAAGCGGGGGCAGCCAATCAGCGGGCAGAGGCCGCGGGCGGTGCGCGCCGCGATTGGCCAGGCCGCCTGCAGCGCGCTGCCATTGGCTGGGGGCGGCGCGGGCGCGGCGGAGGGAGAGGAGCGGGGCTGGCGGAGCACGGGAGAGCGGCGCGGAGCGGCTGAGGTGAGGGCGGGAGCACGGGTGAAGGGGGGCCGCGGCGGGGGGGGCACCGGAGCGGCGCTGGAGGGACCGGGCCGGTGCTGGGGCCGGTGGGGGCGTGCGGGGAGAAGACCGGGCAGGTGCTGGGCGGCGGGGTCCCGCTTCCCGCTCCCTCACCCTACTTCCGCCATCCCCTCCCAGAGCAGCTGTGACCGCCGCGGCGTTGCCATGACGACAACGACGGCGCACCCCTATTGGCCACGCTCGCTGCCGTTGCCGGGCTACGTCGCCGCCGCGCTCCCTGGATGGCAGTGCGCGGCCTTGGTGGGCGTGGCCGCGGTGGGGCTGCTGGCGCTTGGTTGGCTGCTGGGCGGGGCGAGGGGCGGGGCTTCTCGGAGCCTCGCCCACCGCCTGGCGCTGGGCTGGTTCCTCATGTGCACCGGGATCCATGGAGTGCTCGAGGGGTTCTTCAGCCTCCGGCACCGGGACCTGCCCCGCACCACCGGGCTGCTGGCCGACGTCTGTGAGCACCGGGACGGGGCACGGCAATGGCCGGGGACCCGGGCTGGGTGCCCTTTGGGGGGGTCAATGTATGGGTATGGGGTTCCCTGGCCTTGGGATGGGGTTGGGGGGCCAGGAGGGGTGTGGTATCCACTAACCCCACACTGCCCGCAGGGAAGGAGTACGCCAAAGCCGACAGCCGGTACATGACGTGAGTAGGGGCAGGGGCTGGGTGGGGAGGGGGTGTCCATGGGTGCCGGCTCATCCTGCTCTGTCTGTTCCCTCCTTCCAGGAGCGATGACTTCACGGTTGCCATGGAGACGGTGACAGCCTGGGCCTGGGGACCCCTCAGCTTCCTCACCTTCCTTGCCCTCCTGCGCCGCCATCCAGCCCGCTACATCCTGCAGCTCCTTGTCTCCCTCGGTACGCTCGGGACCACCCCTCCCATGTCCCCAGAGCCACCCTCCTATCCCCAACCGCATCTTCCTCCCACACACAGGGCAGCTCTATGGGGACGTGCTGTACTTTGCCACGGAGGCGCTGGCAGGCTGGAGCCACAGCGACCCCCAGCCCCTCTACTTCTGGGGCTACTTCGTGGGACTGAACGGGGTGTGGGTGCTGGTGCCCTGTGCCCTCCTGGCCGACTCCTGCCGCCACCTTGCTGCTGCCCAGAGAGCCCTCGACCGGCCCCGCCACAAGAGCCACTGACCACGGGTGCCAAAGGCTCCTCTCTACAACACCTGGGTGCCAGATCTCCCCCCATGGGGCAGCACTGAGGGAGGGGGTGTTGGCATTCTCCAGGGATTTCAGGGGTGTCCTGGTGCTTGTGTTGGGCCCCCCATGAGCTCAGGGATGTGGGGCCAGACCCCTGGGTCCCGTGGGGTGGGGGGTCACACGGTAACTGCGGCTGTGTGATGGGTGTTAATAAAGGAGCTGAGATTGGAGCCCTGGGTCTGTGCTGGGGAGGGGTGGTGGGATCGGGGGCGTGGCCTAATGGAGACTGACAGGTGATTGGGAGGAGGCAATGGAGAGGGCGGGTCCTTCGGCGCTGGCGCTCCTCAGCCAGTGGGAAATTAGGTCGCCTGATGTGGCCAACGGGAGGGTTAAGCCTCCCTCAGACCAATCGGCATTGGGAGCTTCACACTAATCCCGCCCATCACCAGCGTGCTGAAGTTGGTGGCGCGGCAGCCAATGAGAGCGCGCTCTGCCCTGGAGTCCCGCCTTCCCCTCGCTGCCCAATCAGCGTCAGCTCCACCGTCGTCACGGCCCAATCAGCACTCTGTCCTTCACTAAGTCCCGCCTCCGCAGGGAGCCAACAGTCGCCCGCGCTCTCCCTTGAGCCACGCCTCTTATTCCGCAGCCCAATCAGAGCCCGCTCTCGTTGACCCCCCCTCCGACTCCCAGAGCTCCACCCAATCAGCGTGCACTCCCTCCACCCTCGACCCGCCCCCTCCGCTCCGTCCACCCAATTCTCGAGCAGCCGCGCCGTCTCCAGGGCAACGCCTGTCCCGCCTCTTTCCCCCTCCACTCTCCTCTCCATTCTCCATTCGGGCGGGACTTCCTCCCCGGCTTCCAACCAATGAGAACGCGGTGTCTGCGGCTTCAGCCAATGGGAGCGCCGACGGCGGGCGAGGCGGAAGCGCGGCGCGGGGTCAGAGGGCGCCGCTGTTGATGTTGACACGGGCCCGGCGGCGGCAGCGCCCCGCGCCCCGACAGCTCCGCGCGCGCCGCCGCCCCGGGGGGGTCTGCCCCCCCCCCCCCCGGTCCGGTCCCGCCGCCCCCCCCATGCGCTCCCCTCCATGACGATCCTCCCGAAGAAGAAGCCGGTTCCGGCGCCCGACGGAGACGCTGATTCGGGCCCGGACGCCGGCCCCGAGCGCGGTGCGGACGGAGGCCCCGAGCGCGGCCCCGGCGGCGTTGGCGAGCCCGGAGGCCCTGGCGGGGTGGGGGGGCCGCGGCCCAGGGCCTCGCCGCCGCCGCCGCTGCGGGGCTGGGCCGGGCTTCCCGCCGCCGGATCCCCCCCTCCCGCCGGCCCCGGAGGCCCCGTTGGAGGCGGCCCCGGCCCTGGGGATGGTCCCGCGGCGCTGCTTGGGTTGGACGCGGCCGCGCTGGGGCTGCCCGAGCCCCGCGGGCCCGGCGGCGGCGGAGGAGGAGGTGGCCCCGGGCACAGCAAGAGGCGGCGGCGAGGAGGGGCCGGCCCCAGCGCGGGCCCCGGCGGAGGAGGCCCCGGCTGCGGCGGCCCCGTGGGGCTGGCGCTGGGCTTGGGCCCCGGTGGCAGCCCCGGCCCCGATGAGGCGGGAGGTGGCTACAACAGCGAGGACGAGTACGAGGCCGGGAGGGTGGAGCTGGACCCGGCCACGGCCGAGCAGGTGCGGGGGGCACTGGGGGTGGCTGAACAAGTCGGGGACACCATGGGGTGATTGGGGTTCCCCAGGGTCTGTGTGCCTCCCTCCTCCCCATGTGCTTGCATCACCCATGGATCCCCATCATCGCCATGCAGTGAAGGGCCCCCCGTGCCCCCCCGGGGGGTCCGTGGTGCCCCGGCACCGAGCCCGGCTGTGTCTCCAGCAGGAGCACTGGTTCGAGAAGGCACTGCGGGAAAAGAAAGGCTTCATCATCAAGCGCATGAAGGAGGATGGAGCCTGCTTGTTCCGGGCCGTGGGTGAGCCCTGCGCCCCCCAATCCCCATGCGTTCCCTCTTCTCCTTTTGCACCCTGCTGTTGTGGGCACCAGCTGATGCCACCCCCTTTGTGCCCCCGTCAGCCGACCAGGTCTACGGAGACCAGGACATGCACGAGGTGGTGCGCAAGCACTGCATGGACTATCTGGTGAGGGGCTCGGGGGCTCTTGAGTGTGTAAGGATACGCTGGGGGGCAGCAAGAAGGGATTGAGGGGTACTGGGAGGCCCTGGGGTGGTGCAGGGAGCATTGGGAGGCAGTTTGGATGCTCTGCCCCCTTCCTCCTTAGTGCTTCCTAATGTCCCTGATGGCCTCAGGTCCCCAGGGTAACCTCATGCTCCACCACACCACCCCCTCCCAGTGTCCCTTTGCCACCATGGGGCTGCCCCACATGTCCCTTGCTGTTCCCTAACCCCCCCCCCCCCATGTCCCACCTTTTGGGTAGATGAAGAACGCCGACTACTTCTCCAACTACGTGACAGAGGATTTCACCACCTACATCAATCGCAAGCGCAAGAGCACGTGCCATGGTAACCACATCGAGATGCAGGCCATGGCCGAGATGTACAACCGCCCCGTCGAGGTCTACCAGTACGGCACTGGTGCGTCTGCCCCAGGGGGCCCTGCGGACAGCGGGCACCGGGGTCCAAGAGGAGCTGGGAGGGTGCTCCTGGGCTTCTCCAGGGTGTCCTTGTGGTGTCCTGGGGGTACCAAGGTGCTTAATGAATAGATGGGGTGACCCCAGAGAGATAATGGGGGGGCTGAGGGGCTTCCTGGGGTGTCTCTGTGGTCCTCAAGGTACAATTGGGGAAGCTTGTGGGGTCATAGGGAGATGTGGTGTTCTTGTGGGGCCCCACTGGGGCTTATGTGGGGTCCCCAGATTGCTGCTAGAGGGGCCTCAGGTGGTTGGGGATGGTCCTATGGGTCTCTGCTGCTAGGGAGTGCATCCCACAGGCCAAGGGGTCCCCAAGGGTGGTGTTGTGGGGGTGCCCCTGTGTGGCTGGGGTGTCGGTGTGCTGATGGGGTACCCCACAGAGCCCATCAACACCTTCCACGGGATTCAGCACAACGAGGATGAGCCCATCCGGGTCAGTTACCACCGCAACATCCACTACAACTCCGTCGTCAACCCTAACAAGGCCACCATCGGCGTGGGGCTGGGGCTGCCCTCCTTCAAACCGGGGGTCAGTGGGGCCGGAGGGCACTGGGACCTCAATGCCATGGGGTGGGGGGGTCTCCTCCTTCAAGCCAGGAATCACCCAGGCCCCGCATTGCCGTGGGGCAGGGGTGCTCTATGGGTCCTGTGGCCCTCCCTCCCTGTGTGGGTGGGACCAGGGAGGCGGTGTGGCCAGGTGGAACCCGCCTTATTTGGCGGGGGGCGGGATGTCCAATGGGCGAAGTCTAAACGTGTGGTCGTGGCCAATCAGGGCCCCACCCCCTGCACCTGCACGGGCTGAGTGCCTTGATGTGGCTGAGAGACCACACGCAAAGGGGATGTGGCTTAGTATGACCACGCCCCCACTGATAGGTTGGTATGAGGATGGGGGAGTGGCTCAAGGCTGTAGGGTGTGTGGAGAGGGGCGTGGCCTCTGCCAGGGGGCGTGTACCATCGTGGCTCCGCCCCCAGCTGGCAGAGCAGTCACTGATGAAGAGTGCCATCAAGACCTCGGAAGAGTCGTGGATCGAGCAGCAGATGCTGGAGGACAAGAAGCGGGCGACGGACTGGGAGGCCACCAACGAGGCCATCGAGGAGCAAGTGGCCCGCGAGTCCTACCTGCAGTGGCTGCGCGACCAGGAGAAGCAGGCGCGGCAGGTGGGTGTCCCTCCTAGCCCCCCATGTGTCCCCACCACTGCATGGGGGGTTTCATGGGTCCCTGTGTCCCCGCAGCCCCGCAAGGCCAGCGCCACGTGCAGCTCAGCCACAGCAGCGGCCGCCAGCGGCCTGGAGGAGTGGAGCGGGCGCTCGCCCCGCCCACGCAGCGCGGCCCCATCACCTGAGCACCCCGGTCTGCACCCCGAGGCGCCCGGCCCCAAGCCCCCTTCACCCGGAGCACCCCCCGCTGGCAAACCCCCATCGCCCTGTGCCCCAGGTGGGTCTCAAAGTGTGCGCTATAGGGTGCTATGGAGGCCTGAGGAACTCAAATTGGGTTCTATGGCCCCAGACTGGGTGCTGTGAGGTTTTGGCAACCCAAAAATGGGTGCTATAGGGTCCTGAGGGACTCAAACTAGGTACTAAGAGGTGCTAGGGAGCTCAACCTGGGTACTCTGGGGTGCTGGTGGATTCAAACTGGGTGCTAGAATCTGTTGGGGGCTCAAATTTGGTGCTTAGCTGTGCTAGGCAGCCTAAACTGGGTGTTCAGAATCTCAAGCTGGGACCCCCCAGGGGTGTGCTGGGTCTCTATGGGGTGTGGGGGGTCCTGGGCCTGGTGTCTGACCCTTTCTCCCCCTGCTCCAGGGACCAGCAGCCAGCTGGGGGCGGGGGGGGGCCGGGCCACCCCCCCACTGGTGTCCCTGTATCCCGCGCTGGAATGCCGCGCCATCATGCAGCAGATGTCCCCCACTGCCTTCGGTGAGCTGGGGGGACCCAAACTGGGGGATGGAAGTTGCAGTTACAGGTTCTTACTGGGAGGTGCTTTAGACTTAGGGGGGTCTAGAGATGTGTTTATTGGGGTACATCTCACTTGGGGGGGGATATAGTTTGGGGGTGGTCAAAGTGTGGTTTTGGGGGTTCAACTGTGGATTGGGGGGGAGAAGCTCTTTCTAGGGGGGATTTATCCCCATTTATTGCACTTTGGAGAGGGAGAAGATGTCCCAGAGCCTCATTTTTCACTGTGGGGGTACCAAGCTCTGCTCCCCCTCCCCATTATCGCTTTGGGCACAATGCACGGCAGGGGGGTCATGTTGTGTGTGTGTCCCCCATAGTAACCTATATACAACACCCCCAGGCCTCAACGACTGGGAGGACGATGAGATCCTGGCATCGGTGCTGGCCGTGTCACAGCAGGAGTACCTGGAGACCATGAAGACCTCCCGCCACAGAGACCCCACCACCGACAAGAGTTGATATTGAACCCCTGGACTGCACCCCAAACCCCCCCGGCCCCCCCCCAAGGGACCTCTAGGTGGGGGGGAGGCATTTTACTATGGGGGGGGTCACACAGACAACAACCTCCCCGCCCTTTCCACCAGGGAGGGGGACACAGCGCTGGACGCCGCGGGATGAGCTTTGGCTCTGCTGATGTGGGGAGGATGGAAGCCGTCCCCCCCATATTACAGCTGGAAGGAAGGTGGGGGGTGGAATGGGGTGGGGGGAGTCCTTTTGGTTTAGGATCTCCCCTTTCTTTCCCAATGGGGTTTTGCTGTTGGGGGGGGTCCCCATCTCTGCCCTCCCCACCTCCTCCCAGAGCATCCCGTGCTCCCCCCCAGCCCCCAGGGGTGGGGGAGGCTGTGGGGATAGGGGTGCTGCCCCCCCCTCCCCCAGTGTGCCCTGTTATTAAACTGATGCCCAGCAGCCCCCCCGACCCTGTCTCTGCCTCTTCCCCAGCGTGGGGCGGGGGGGGGAGGCCAGGTGCTTGGGGGATGTCGGTGCTGGCTCTTTCTGGCCCCTATGAGGGGGGGTCCTTCCATAGGGGTGATGCCCTTTGCCCCCTGGGGGTGTTTCGCCCCCTGCCCCATTCTTTTGCTTTGGGCCTGGCCTTGGCGGGTCCCCTCTCACTGGGTGTTTACCGCGCAGTTGCCATGGTTACACGTCGCGCTCTGATGATGTAGTGGCCGCGGGAGCCTATGGGGGGGGGGGGGAGAGAGAGACTGAGAGAGAGAGAAGACAGAAGCGTCACTTCCGGAGCGCGACGGTGGCCGGAGGCCGGGTCCTGCCGAGGGTCCTGTCAGCGCCCGCCCCGCTCTCAGCGCCGCCGGTTCGGGACCAACGGGGCCGGGAGGCGGCGGACGGGCACCGAGGGTCGCTTTAGGGCGGCGATAGACCCCGTGCAGCGCCTGGTTGGGGGTTAGACGGAGAAGAGAAGCTCAGGAGGGACCCTCTCGCTCTCTGACGGCAGGATGGAGCCGTGAGGGGGCTGCTCTCTGTTCCCAAGCGATGGGACAAGAGGAAATGGCTTCAAGCTGTACGGATGGGGGGGGGGTAGGTGGAGATGGGGAAGGATTTATCCGTTGGAGCAGGCTGCCCAGGGAATGGTGGAGTCCCCGGCCCTGGAAGTGTTCACACCCCTTGTAGCCGAGGCGCTCGGTGCCGTGGGTGAGCGCTGGCCTCGGCAGTGCTGGGGCACGCTTGGATCTGGTGCCCTTAAAAGTCGTTTCCAACCCCATTGAGCCAACGGCGAGGAGACGCGGGAAATAACGAGGTACGGGCGCCAGGTCCTGCGCGGCTCCGTCTCCATGGCGACCAGTGGGCGGGGAAAGGGGCGTGGCCTCGGGTCCGGGTGAGGCTTCCTATTGGTCAGTGGGCGGGGCCATAGCCAGCGGAGCGGGGGGCTCAGAGGCACGCGCGGAGCGGGAGAGAGCGGCATGGAGCTGCGCGGGGGGGCGGCGCCGGGCGCGAGGACCGGTGGGGGGGCAAACGGGAACGGGAATCGGGGGGGTGAGGGGCAAGGTGGGATCCCGGTGGGGGGTGTGAGGGGATCGTGAGGGGGGGTTTGGGGGTGGTTAGGGGGGGGGGCGGGTCTGAGGAGGGGTCCTGAGGGGAAAGTGGAGTCTTGGCACTGCGGGGGGGTCACAGGGGGGTCGTGGTGTTATTGCGGGGGGGGAAGGGGGGTTCCGGCACAGGGGGCCTGCATTTGGGGGTTCTGATGGGAGAAGGTGGCTCCTGAGGCTGCGGGGGAGGGAACTCGGGGTCCTTGGGTTGGTGCTGATCTTGACACACCCCCCCATAACCCCCACCCAATCCCCCCCAGATCCAGAGAAGAGGAAAAAGAAGCGCAAAAAGGACAAGAAGCAGAAACCGGTGCCACGGTGAGGGGGGGAGGGGGGCAGCGGGTCCCGACCCCCCCACAGCCCCCTGTGACCCTCAGGGACAGCCAGCTATTGGCGGGGGGGTCTCTGTGTGCCGGGGGGGACACGGGACACACCAAAGGCCCATTGGGGGGGGGCACGATCATGGGCCACCCCTCCCCCCACCGTGGCTATTTTTAACCCCACTGGGCCCTGAGGTCAGTTCTATTTTGGGGGGGTGATGTCCCAGGATGCCTCATTCCCCCCCTCCCCCAGCTGCAGCGTGGGCCATTCCCCCCATTCCTACTGTGGTATCACCCTGTTCCCCCCCCCCCCAGCATGGGGGACGTGCAGGGAGCTGGAGTTTGGGTTCCTATTGTGCTCTCCCCCTTCTAGGACCCCAACCCCCTCTGAGGAAGCATCACTGGAGCCCCCCCTGCCCCTGCTCTCTGAGGGGCTGCTGGGCTTGGATGAAGGGGAGCAAGAGGACCCCCGTGATTACTGCAAAGGTGGAGGTGCCCCATGCCAGGGGGGGTGCTTAGGCTGGCAGCACCCAAGGTGATAACCCCCCCCCATACCCCCCCATAGGTGGGTATTACCCCGTGCGCATTGGGGACCTCTTCAATGGGCGCTATCACGTGGTGCGGAAGTTGGGGTGGGGGCACTTCTCCACCGTGTGGCTCTGCTGGGACGTCCGGTGAGTGCCCAAAGGGGGGGAACCCCAAAGGGGGGGGTGTTAAGGCGGGGGTCCACTCAATCCCTCTGTGTCCCCCCCCCATAGGCGCAAGCGTTTTGTGGCACTGAAGGTGGTGAAGAGCGCGCCACAGTACACGGAGACGGCACTGGATGAGATCAAGCTGCTCAAATGTGTGAGTGAGGCCGGGACCCCCAAATGGAGCCCTCAAATCCCTGCCGTGTCCATCCACCTCCCCCATTGCCCCCCCCCCAGGTCCGTGACTCAGACCCCAGCGACCCGAAGCGGGAGAATATTGTGCAGCTCATCGATGACTTCAAGATCTCAGGAGTCAACGGTGTCCGTATCCTGCTGGGGGGGTGTCGTGGGGGTTTGGGGGAGACATGCCAAATGTTCACCCCATGGGGGGGTCTCAGGTGGCCACACACTCCTTGACCCCCCCTCCAAGACGTGTGCATGGTGCTAGAGGTGCTGGGTCACCAGCTGCTGCGCTGGATCATCAAATCCAACTACCAGGGGCTGCCCCTGCCCTGTGTCAAGAGCATTGTGAGGCAGGTGAGGGGGTCGCACATCACCCCTTATCCCCCCCATATTACCCCCTGTGTCCCTCCCCAATCCCCTTCACATCCCCCACATACCCAGACCCATGTGGGGACGCCAACCTCGCCCCAGAGCCCCATGGGGACCCCCATTGTGTTGGGACGCAGGTGCTGGAGGGCTTGGACTATCTCCACACCAAGTGCAACATCATCCACACCGACATAAAGCCCGAGAACGTGCTGCTGCGGGTGGGGGAGCCCTTCGTGAGGCAGCTGGCGGCCGAGGCGGCACGATGGGCCCGTGGGGGGGGGCCACCCCAAAGCGCAGGTACCCCCAAACCCCATCCTGTGCAACGGTTTGGTCTGGGGAGACCCCTTGACACTGAAACACACCCCCCGATACTCTGCAGTGAGCTCCGCACCACAGGATGGACCCGTGAGTGTCACATATGTGTGCCCCGCGCACCCCTCACACTGCTCCTTGCGCACGCGTGTGCCCCGCGCACCCCTCACACTGCTCCTTGCGCACGCGTGTGCCCCGCGCACCCCTCACACTGCTCCTTGCACACGCGTGTGCCCCGCGCACCCTTCACACTGCTCCGTGCGCACGCGTGTGCCCCGCGCACCCCTCACACTGCTCCTTGCACACGCGTGTGCCCCGCACACCCCTCACACTGCTCCTTGCGCACGCGTGTGCCCCGCGCACCCCTCACACTGCTCCTTGCGCACGCGTGTGCCCCGCGCACCCCTCACACTGCTCCTTGCGCACGCGTGTGCCCCGCGCACCCCTCACACTGCTCCTTGCACACGCGTGTGCCCCGCGCATCCCCGCCCCAGGAGCGCCTCTCCCGGGCCCAGCGGCGCCGGCGGCGGCGGCAGCGGCGGCGGCAGAGCCGGCGCCTGGCTCAGTGCCTGCAGGATCTGGAGCGGCTGAGGGAGACTGGAGCGTCGCCAGGGGGTGCCGGTGAGAGCGGTCAGTGCAAGCCGGCCATAGGGGGGGGTGCTGGGGGGGCAGAGCCCCATAGAATGGTTTGGGCCTCGATGGGGAGGCGGCTTTGGCTCCCTGGGGGTGGTTTGGGGGGGTTCCATGAGGGTTTGGGGGTGCTCCATGAGGCTGTTATGGGGGGAGCATGGGGACCCCCCATTCCTGTTAGATTGTGGGGGGTCTCAGGGGTCTCTCTCCCACCCCCCCCACAGAAGTCGCACCCCCGGACCACGAGGAGGGGGGGGGCAGCCCCCCCAGCGGTGCCTCCTCCTCAGGGGTTCACACGCTCCCGGCCGGTGGCTCTAGCGACGGCCTCTCGGGTGGCTCCTGCACCTCAGGAGGGCTCCTGGCCCGGCGCCCCCCCAGCCCCAGCTCTGCCTCCGACTCCCTCCTCACCCCCACATCCAGCTCCCTCATCTCGGGGGGCTCGGGAGGGCCCCCTGCACCCCTTGGTGAGTACAATGGGGTGGGGGAGTGGGAATGTGGGGGCAATTGGGGGTGCTGAGGGGTAAATGGGGGGAGGTGGTTGTGGATATTGGGGTCTTGGGGGGCATCAGTGGGGATCGAGGGGCTCTTGAGGTGCCCCCGCTGATGTCCCTGTTGCTACCCCGCAGGTGGGGGGCTCCTGGGGGGCCAGGAGAATCCCCTGGACCCCCGCTGCGCCCCCCGGCTGCGTGTCAAGATTGCTGACCTGGGCAACGGCTGCTGGGTGGTGAGGGGCAATGGAGGGGTATTGGGTGCCCCCATTCGTTTAGGGACACCTTGGGAAGAGCTGGGGGGGGCAACGGGTGCCCCTGTGGGTAAGGGGTGACCTGCGGCCCCCTCCAGCACCGCCACTTCACCGAGGATATCCAGACGCGGCAGTATCGGGCGCTGGAGGTGCTGCTGGGGGCCGGCTATGGGCCCCCCGCTGACATCTGGAGCACTGCCTGCATGGTGAGGAGCCCTGCCCCATGGCCTGCCCCGTAGCAGGCCCCACAGCCTCTCACAGCCCCGCTTTGCCCCCCCCAGGCCTTCGAGCTGGCCACGGGGGACTACCTGTTCGAGCCCCATTCAGGGGAGGACTACAGCAGGGACGAGGGTAGGCGGGGCCTGGGGAGGGGGCGTGGCCTCGGGAAGTAGGCAGGGCCTGGGGAGGTGTGGCTGAAGGTAGTGGGCGGAGCTCCAACTGCCCCCTCTCCCCACCAGACCACATTGCCCACGTGATCGAGCTCCTGGGGGAGATCCCGCGACACGTGGCCCTTGGGGGACGCTTCTCCCGCGAGTTCTTCAACCGGCGCGGTGAGGGGCGGGGCCAAGGCGGGTGGCGGGGGCTAAAGAGGGAGGGGTGGGACCAGGGGCGGGGCTAAAGTACGTGGGCGGGTCTCAGCAGGGACTGGGGCGGGGCTAAGAGAGGAGGAGGAGCTAAGAAGGGAGAAACAGGCTTGGGGCGGGGCTAAGGCCTCGGGGCGGAACTCAAGAGGGAGGAACCGTGTTAGGGGCGAGGCTTGAGGGTGTGGCCAATGGCGCGGGGCGTTGCTTGGGAGCCTCATGGAGCAGGGCGAGTTATGGCCATGGCCATGCCCCTGACGCTCCGGCCCCCCCCAGGGGAGCTGCGGCACATCCGGCACCTGCGACCCTGGGGGCTGCGGGCGGTGCTGCAAGAGAAGTACGAGTGGTCCCGGGGGGCGGCCGCCGCCTTCGCCCGCTTCCTGCGGCCCATGCTGGCCTTCGAGCCGGCGCGGCGAGCAACGGCCGCCCAATGCCTGCGCCACCCCTGGCTCCGACCCTAGCCCCGCCCACAGCCCCGCCGCCAATAAACGTGCGGGAGGCAGCTCCAGGGGGGTTTATTGGGGCGTGGTCTCATCGTGTGGGTGTGGTCCTCAGCCAATCAGGCGCGGGAGAGGTGGGAGATGATGCTCTGGACAGCGCCCGAGGTTGTGCCCTGTCCCCCGATGTCGGGAGTGTGCGTCTGGGGGCGGAGCCAGGCGATGGGCGGGGCTTGGTGGTGCTGCTGCACCAATGGGAGGGCGGAGATTGGTGGGGGAGGGTGGGGCTTACCCGTGGATCGTCCAATGAGGCGAGCACGGCCTGGCGGATGGCCGTGGCGTAGCTGTGCAGCCTGAAAGCGTGTAGAGCGAGGCCACGCCCACATCAGGAAGCTACGCCCCTAACTACACCAGCCGGTAGCCACGCCCCTCGCAGTCGAAACCCCACCCACCTGAGGTGGTCCAGCATCATGCAGGCAGCGAGCAGCGCCGCCGTGGGGTTGGCGATGTTGCGGTTGGCGATGCTCTTGCCCGTGTTCCGTGTCGCCTGCGGCCAATGGGATAATGGGGATTGAGGGGGAGATCCCCACAGGCCCCCCAGCTCCCCCCATTCATCTCCCACCAGGACCTCCCCCCGTGCCCCCATGACCCACAGTCTCGAAGACAGCGTAGTCGTGCCCATAGTTGGCACCAGGGACGAGGCCAGGGCCTCCCACCAGCCCCGCACAGACGTTATTGACGATGTTCCCATAGAGGTTGGGCATCACCATCACGTCGAACTGCTGCGGGCGCGACACCAGCTGTAGGGGGGGCAGAGCAGTCAGCACGGGGGGGGGGGCACTGGGGGCAGCACAGGGGGCAGTGGGAGCAGAGCCCTACCTGCATGGTGGTGTTGTCCACAATCATGCTCTGGAAGCTGATCTCCGGGTATTCTGCTGCTACCTCCTTGCAGCACTGCAGGAAGAGCCCATCCCCCAGCTTCCTGTGGATGGGATGGGTTCAATGGGCTCCAGAGCCCACCCCGCCAATCCTTCCCCCACCCACAGCCCCACACCCGTACATGATGTTGGCCTTGTGCACGGCGGTGACGGAGCGGCGCTTGGCAGCACGGGCCAGGCCAAAGGCGTAGTGAGCGATGCGGCGTGACCGCCCAGCCGTGATGATCTTGAGGCTCTCCACCACCCCGGCCACGCTCTGCGTGGAGGGGGGGGCCATCAGGATGCGGTGGGGATTCGGGGGGGGGAAAAGCCTGAGGCTAAGGGGGCTGAGGGGGCTTGGCTAGAGATGGGCATGTTCAGAGCAATGGCGGTGTGGCCATGGCAGTGTCCCCATGGGGCTGGAGTCACCTCGTGCTCCAGGCTGCTGTACTCGCCCTCGGTGTTCTCCCGAACGATGAGGATGTCGATGTCCCGGTGCCGCGTTTCCACCCCGGGCAGGCTCTGGCAGTGGATCACGTTGGCGTAAAGGTCCAGGCTGGTCCTGCCCCACCACAACACCCAGGTCAGGCTCTGTGGTTCCACCCCCCCACTGACACCCCCCTGCATCCCTCAGCTCTCACCGGATGAGGTTGTTCCGGGACTTGTGGCTGGGCGGGAGGTTGTGGTTGGTCTCAATGTTGCCTGGGGAGGGGATGGAGCCGGGGGTCAGGAGGTCCCCAGAGGTGCTCGGGGGGGTGCCCAGCCCCACACTCACCCTTGATGGCGACGCCGTTGCGGCGGATGGCCATGATGGCATTGTGCACGTCAGCCTCGGGCGCTTCCGCGCCCACACGCACCTCCTCGAAGTCCACGGGCACACAGGCGTGCCTGGGGGCAGCGGTGGCTGTGACACCAGTCTCCTCCATGGGGGGGGGGGGGACGGGGGGGGGACAGGAAAGCGGGGGCACCCACCTGAAGACCTCCTTGACGTGAAGCATCAGTTCAGGGCCGATGCCATCACCTGGGATCAGAGTCACTGTGTGGCGGCCACCGTACTTGGCAGGGGGCGGCTGCAGGGACACCGGGGGGTGAGGACTCAGGTGTCCCAGTCCCCATGACCCCCTCCTCTTTACCCCCCCATCTCCCCCCAGTCCTCTGCCTGGAGAGCCCCCCCCATGCACCCCATGCATGCATACACCCCCCCCCCCCCGTGCTTTTGGGGTCCCCCCCACCCTGTTCTGGCCATACTCACGATGCTAGGCTGCTGTGGGGGCAGGCGGCCATGGCGTGCGGGAGAAACAGGGGCAGTTAAGTCACGGTGCCGGCACACGGGGAGGGGATGAGGGGGAAACAGAGCCCCCCCGTAACACACACACAGCAACAACAACGTGCACCCCCAGCCGTGGGCCCAGAGCACCTCAGCAGGAGCCGCTCGGAGCCCCCTCAGTGACACCCCCCCCCCGAAATAGGGGTCACAGCTCCTTGGTCCAGAGAGGCCAAAGGGGGGCCCCCAAACCCACCCCATCCCCAGGAGGGAATAGGGTGGGGTTGGAGGGTCTCCCCCTTCCAGCACAAGGAGGCACCCCACGGTCTCTGTGACCTCCCCCCAAGTGTTAGAGGGCCCTGGGGGACCGAGAGGGGGGGAGCACGGGTCCCCCCAGACGAGGCACTTACAGGTGGGAGATGGCGCCGCTCAGCATCATGGGAAACCCAAGCCTGAGGGGGGACTGAGAGGTCACAACCGGGAGCCTGCGCCTTCCCGCAGCGACCCAGGACCCCCTCCCGGGTCAGGCACACGGCCCAACCTCCCATAGAAACATCAACCAATCAGTGCGGAACCCGCTGCCCCTACCCGCCCATTCACTGAGAGCACAGCCAATCAGCATTCAGGAGCCCGGAGAGCTCCAGTGGCAGCCAATCAGAGCCCGATCCGCTTGACAGTTACTCCCGCCAATCGTCGCCGCTGCTTCCAATCAGACCGCCGCATTCCGCCCACACATCTCCATCCGCAACCCGGCCAATCAGAGCGCAGCATCCCCCCCACCCCCCCCCCCGGGCCCCGCCGCTGGGCCGAGCCCTTCCCGCCGTGCCCCCCCTGCGGCTCCCCCCGCACTCACCGGTTGCGGCCACCGCGGGGCCGGGACCCGGAGCTGCCGCGCTGCCCGCAGCGCCGCCGCCATTGCCGATGCCGCCGCGCCGCTCTCGCGAGACCTCGGCACCGCCAACGCACAGGGTCGGTGGCAACGCAAAATCTCGCGAGACTTCCCGCCAGCCCCGCGAGCCCTCCCTCATGCCGCCGGCAGCGCCACACAAGTCGCGGCCGCCATTTTGTGCCGGCGGCACCCAGGCTTGGAGCCGGTTCCGCGGCTGCGCTTCGAGCCCGTTTTGGGGTGAAAACCGAACAAAAACGTCCAGGAGAGGCCGGGCCCGAAGCCGGCAGCTGTTGCGATGGGAACGCGCAACGGTGCCTCTCTGCGCATGCGCCGGGGCGCGGCCTTTCCCCGCACCACATAAGTCGCAGCCCCCATTTTATCCGGTAGCCAGCGCCACCGCGCATGCGCAAAGCTCGGCACCGCGGCACTCGGGCCACGTCGCTCGCGGTGTAGGCACCCGCGAAACGCAAAGCTCGCTTCCCATTCGCTACAGGACTCGCGGCGGCCCGCCTCCCTGCCGCTTATTGGGAGGGAGGCGGTGGCGGGCGGCGCTGATTGGTCCGCGGCTCGACCGTGAGGGGCGGGCGGTAGGCATGGCGGTGCTGGCGCTGCTGCTGCTGGCGCTCGGTGCCGCGGGTACGGGGGAAGGTGCGGGGGTACCGGAAGCCTGTGCGGGGGGTCCTGGGGCCTGTGAGGGGCGGACGGGGATCCCGGGGCACTGGGACCCTATGGAGGGGTTGCGGGGGGGGGGAGCCGGCGGTCCTGGTACCGGTGCTCACCGGCTCCTGGTTCTCCCCCGCCGCAGCGGAGCCGTGCCCGGAGCCCACGATCGTGCCCTCGTACTACACCACCTCGGACGCCGTCATCTCCTCCGAGAGCGTCTTTGTGGTGGAGATCTCTTTGGCCTGCAAGAACGGCGCCCAGGTGGGCCCCCCCCCGTGTGTCTACGGAGGGGCTCCCGGTTCGTCCCCGCCTCACTCCGGTCCCGTTTCCCCCCTGCAGAACGTGGCTCTCTACGCCGATGTCAACGGGAAGCAGTTCCCCGTCACCCGCGGGCAGGATGTGGGGCGCTACCAGGTGAACCCGGGGTCCCCCATAGGGGGTTATGAGGACGAGTCTATGGGGTCAGCGCTCACTGCACCCCCCATAGGTGTCGTGGAGCCTGGAGCACCGCAGCGCCCAATCGGGCACCTACGAGGTGAAGTTCTTCGATGAGGAGTCCTACAGCGCCCTGCGGAAGGTGCCCCCCTCCCCCCTACGGACCCCCATGGAGCTGGGGGTGTGATGGGTGCCCCCAACCTGGCTCTGAACCCCTTCCCCCCCACCCCCACCCCCGCTTCAGGCTCAGCGCAACAACGAGGACGTGTCCCGGGTCCGGCCCCTCTTCACTGTCAATGTGGACCATAGGGTGAGTTGGGGGGGTCCTGGGGGGGTGTCCTTGTGGATATGGGGGAGTCCATGGGTGTTCGGGCTGAAACTGGGGTGATTTGGGTGTGTTGGAGGGGGCTTGGGTGATCTTAAAGGGGGGATTGTGTTTTGGGGTGCCCCAGGGTGAGATTTTGGGGTGGATTTTGAGGGTGGGGTTTAATGTGGCACTGGGGGGGTAGGGTTTGGGGGGGAGGGGGGAGCAGCAGTGACACCACCCCCCCCACGTTTCTATAGGGCGCATGGAATGGTCCCTGGGTGTCAACCGAGGTCGTGGCGGCCACCATCGGCCTCCTGGTTTATTACTTGGCCTTCAGCACCAAGAGCAGCATCCAGGCATAGCCCCTCCCTCAGTGCCCCGCCCCCCCCCGGGGGTCCCACACGTCCTGGTGAGAATGGGGTGTCCCTAACATTGATCCCCCAAATGGGGCACCCCTTCAATATGGGGATGGGGCTGAACAGTGAAGAACATTGGGGTGGGGCTGGGTCTGGATACTGGGGGGGTGGAACCCACCAAGATGGGGGTGTCCTCAGCATCGGAGAGGGCCCATTGTGGAGGGGGCTGTGTTGCTGTTACACCCCTTGAAACGGAGGGTCTTGAGGCTTCCCCCATGCTGAGCAATGTGAAGGGTTCGCTTCAGCCGAAGCCGCTTCCTCTTTGGCTTTGCATTGGGTTTTTAAGCACAGTTGTGAACGCAGAGCAGGAGCACACAAGCTCCTGGGGCTGTGGAACCACCAGGAATGAGGGGCTCCTGCAGCTGGGCACGGGACACAGGGTGGCTGTGCCTGCTCGAGCCAGCGTCACAGCGAGCTGCATGGGAAGGGCTTTAGACCCATGCCTGGGGTGAAGTCTGAATCGCTGCTGGCCCTGATCACTTTGCTCTTAAAGACCCCCCCCCAGACAGGCACAGGATGAAGACGGCAGCAGCCATCGGGAGGTGGGATTCGGCTTCCCTAGAGCCCTGTGACTACGGTGAAGGCCTGGCTTGGCCGTAAGGAGCTTTGGCTGCGCTCACAGGAGCGCCCACGGGACACGAGGCGTGCACCCAGCACTGGGGACGAACCCGGGTCCCCAGTTCCACAGCCCCATGGTTACTGCCCTGGGGGGTCCCCAGTGGCAGGGGGGTCCCTGCTGCTGTAACCCAATAAAGGTCTCCCTCCACCACCTCCTCCCTGCGTCTGTGATGGGGTCTGTGCCCCCCCCACCGGCGCCTGCTGTCTGATGACATCACACCCGGCTCTAGACAGGGGTGATGTCACCAGTGACATAGTGTCTGACCTCACAGGGGGTCCATACGGGGGGGGTCTCCCCATTGCACTCCTGTGTCCTCAGGGCGGGGAGGGGTTCCCATCGTTCCCCGGCTGTCACTGCCGGGAATGGGGTGGGGGGGCCCTCCCTTCACGTGGGGCACCCAAGGGTGCGCCCCACCCACCACGGGGCTGGCTCAGGGTGAGGCCGTGGGGGCGGGGCCGGGCAGGGGGCGGGGCCTGCGGGCGGATTATGTCAGCCCCGCGGCAGCCGCAGCCCCGAGCTGGGAGCGGAGCGAGCAGGTACCGGGGGGGGGGAGCGGCGGCAACGGGAACAGCGACCGGGGGTGGCGGGGCGGGAGGCGCGGCTGCGGGAAGAGCCGCGGGGCCGGGGCTCAGGTAAGGGCGGATCTATAGGTGCTCCATAGGGCTGGGCTGAGGTAAATGTGGGTCTATTGGTGTTCCATAGGGCTGGGCTGAGGTAAATGTGGGTCTGTTGGTGCTCCATAGGGCTGGGCTGAGGTAAATGTGGGTCTGTTGGTGCTCCATAGGGCTGGGCTGAGGTAAATGTGGGTCTGTTGGTGCTCCATAGGGCTGGGCTGAGGTAAATGTGGGTCTATTGGTGCTCCATAGGGCTGGGCTGAGGTAAATGTGGGTCTATTGGTGCTCCATAGGGCTGGGCTGAGGTAAATGTGGGTCTATTGGGTGGCTATGGGGCTCGGCTGAGGTAAATGTGGGTCTATTGGTAAATGTGGGTCTATTGGGTGTATAGGGGGCTTGGCTGAGGGAAGGGTGGATCTCTAAGGTCTGTATGGGGTTGGGCTGAGGTAAATGTGGTTCTACTGAGTGTTTATGGGGCTGGGCTGAGGGAAGGGTGGATCTATAGGTGCTCCATAGGGCTGGGCTGAGGTAAATGTGGGTCTAGTGGTGCTCCATAGGGCTGGGCTGGGTAAATGTGGGTCTATTGGTGTTCCATAGGGCTGAGGTAAATGTGGGTCTGTGGGGTGTGTATGGGGCTGGGCTAATGTAAATGTGGGTCTATTGGTGCTCTGTAGGGCTGGGTGAGGTAAATGTGGGTCTATTGGGTGGCTATGAAGCTGGGCTAAGGTAAATATGGGTCTATTGGGTGGCTATGGGGCTGGGCTGAGGTAAATGTGGGTCTATTGGGTGCATATGTGGCTGGGCTGAGGTGAATGTGGGTCTGTTGGTGGCTATGGGGCTGGGCTGAGGTGAATGTGATCTATAGTGTCTTCATGTGCATGGGATTGAAACAAACACAGTCCTATAGAGCATCTGGGGGGTCAGAACTGAGGCAAAAGCAGTTCTGTAGGAATACTATAGGTCCAGATGGAAATAAAGGTGGATCTATAGGGTGTCTGTGGGCCTGGGCTGGGGTACAGATGGCTCTATCAGGTGTCTATGTCGCTGGGTTGGGATACAAGTGGCTCTATAGGGTATTTGTGGGGCTGGGCTGGGTACAGATGGGTCTATAGGGTGTTTATAGGGCTGGGCTGAGGCAACGGGTTGTGCATGAGACCATGGGGTCCCTATAGGGCTGGACTGGGGGCTCTGTGAGATCCCTATGGGGCTGAGGGGGCTCTATAGGGTCTCTCTGCCATCTCCATGGGGCCGGGTGCGCTCTATAGGGTCTCTGTGCCATCCCTATAGGGGTGGGTGGGGGCTGTGGGGTCTCTGTGGGGCTGGGTGCGCTCTGTAGGGTCTCTGTGCCCTCCCTATAGGGGTGGGTGGGTGCTGTGGGGTCTCTATGGGGTCCCGGCCCGCGTCCAACAGATGGGTGGGGTCGGTGGGGGGGGGAGCACACACTCGATGGAACCGCCCCTGTCTCGTCCCCCCCCGGGGCGGTGTCCGGACACCGGGGGGGGTCTGGGGGTATCCGGTTCCCCTCCCCCCCCGGTGATTTCCCTACAGGTGCCGCCGCCCCTCCCCCCACCTGCAGCTCCCGCGGCCGCGGGGGGGGGAGGGGCAGCTCGGGGGGGGGGGGAGGGGAAGGGGGGGCACCTCTCCCCCCACCCCCCGAAGGAATTCGGGGTCAACAACGGCGCCTTGTTCCCGCCGGGGCCGCCCCCGTTTCCGCCCGGGGGGGGGTGCTGGGAAGAGCCGGGCGGGGCGGCTCTGTCCGCGGTGCTGAGGCGAGGGGAAGGGGGGGGCAGCAAAGAGGGGGGGTCTCGGGGGGGGTCGTGCGGGTCCCGAGCCAAGGTGACAGGTTCCTCATCAGCCGTTGTCATGGCAACGGGCGCATCCGGGGGGGGGATGGGGAGGGGAGGCGGTGGCCGCTACACAATGGAGATGGGGAGGGTGGGCTCCTGGTGTTGCCCCCCCCATACACAAACACACACACCCCCGTGTGTTCTGTCCCGTCGTGTCCCCCCCCCAGGCTGCCGCCCGCCCCGGCCATGGCGCTGCCCCGGGGCTTCAGCCTCATCCTGCTCCTGCTGCCGGTGCTGGGGGGGCCTGGAGCCACCATTACCATTCCCCAGGAGTGTGAGTGGCACGAGGACCCCCCCTCCTTGCACGAGGACCCCTCCTTGCGCGCTCACCCCTTGGCATAAGGACCCCTCGCACGAGTGAACCCCGCGCCTTTGCACGAGGACCCCTCCTCGCACACTTGCCCCCTTCTTGAGCACGAGGACCCCCCCTGCACGAGGACCTCCCCCCTGCACGAGGCCTGCCCGCACCTTTGCACGAGGACCCTTCTTTTGCACGCTCTTTGCCCCCCACCCCATCTCGGCTGCTCACGAGGGCTCACAAGGGCCCTGCATGCCTGGAGGGGGGGCGTGCCCCCCCTCGCTCACTGCTGTGTTTCTTCCCCCCTCCCTGCCCCCCCGGATGGTGCAGACGGGCAGCACGACTGTGAGTCGGGGGGGGGGGGGCTCTGGTGTCGCTGGGTGGGGGGCTTGGGGAAGGCTCCCTGAGGTCCCCGTGGGGTCCTTGCCTCTGCTGGGGGGAGTCCCCATGGGGTATCCCCACCCCACTGACATCCCCCCCCCGCAGTCCTGCAGCCCCCCGAGCTGACGGAGCAGCCCCCGGAGCAGCTCGTTGTGTTCCCCAGCGATGATGTGGTGCTCAAGTGCGCGGCCACCGGCAACCCCCCGGTCCAGTGAGTGTGGTTCCACCCGCACATCCCTCCCCATCGCCCCACCGGTGCCCCCCCGCGGCCCCCGGTAACGGAGCCGGGCCTGCAGGTACCGCTGGACGCGGGAGGACGAACCCTTCGTGCCCGAGGAGCACCCCGGGGTGTCGCTGGCGCCGGGCTCCGGGACGCTGCTCATCAACGCCAGCCTGGCCGGGCGCCTGCAGGGCCGGTACCGCTGCGCTGCCACCAACGCGCTGGGCACGGCGCTGTCCACCGAGAGCCGCGTCATCGCCGAGAGTGAGAGCGGGGCCCCGGCACCCACCTGGGCTGATCCCAGTGCCCCAGCACCCACCGAGCTGATCCCAGTGCTCCAGCACCCACGGAGCTGATTCCAGTGCCCCCAGCACCCACCGAGCTGATCCCAGTGCCCCCCAGCATCTAAACCTGCACCCAGTGACCCAAAACCTGCCATGAGGTCCCTTAAAGCCCCTCTGAATCCCCCATAATCGGCTCTGGGGTTCCCTAGATCCACCCAGGGTGCCCCAGAGCCTTGTGAGGGTCCCCTAAACCCTCTCAGAGCCCCTGAGGGTCCCCAGAATCCCCCTATGAGCCCCCAGTTCCCACCGGGTCAGCATAAAGCCACTGCACCCCCATTTCCTCTCATGAGCCCTCACTGGAGGTCCCTGGTTTGGGGGGACACATGGGGTCTCTGGCTGGTTTTGGGGGGTCCCTGCCTGGTTTGGGCCCACTGCCAAGCCATTGTGGTCCCCAGACACGCCGCAGTGGCCCAAGGAGAAGGTGCTGCCGGTGGAGGTGGAGGAGGGGGACCCCGTGGTGCTGCCCTGTGACCCCCCCAAGAGCGCTGTGCCCCCCAAGATCTACTGGCTCAACAGTCGTGAGCAATGGGCAGGACTGGGGGGAGGGGGGTGGCTCCTCCTTCACCCCTTATCCCCTCACCTCACTGCTCCAGTATACTGCCCCTATGCACCCCATTGAACCCACTGAACCCCATGGGACCCCCCTGCACCCCACTACCCCCTCTCTCATCCCCATCAGACCCTCTGATCACCCTGTACTCCCTTAACCCCTTGGCACCCCCACTACACACCACTGAACCCTCCAATCCCATGGGACCCCCCTGCATCCCTTAACCCTTCTGCCACCCCATAGCACCCCATATCACCCCTTGGGTCCTGATGCCCCTTTACCCCCTCATCACACTCCATCATATCCCAGTGTTCTGCTGCACCCCACACCCCAATGTCCCGGTTCTCCCCTGGTGTCGGGGCCCCCCTGACCCCCGCTGTCCCTGCAGGCATCGTGCACATCGCGCAGGATGCACGGGTCAGCATGGGCCAGGACGGGTTCCTGTACTTCGCCAACGCGCTGGTGCGGGACAGTCACCCTGACTACATCTGCCACGCACACTACCTGGGCCCCCGCACCATCATCCAGAAGGAGCCCCTCGACCTCCGCGTCGCCCCCAGTATGTGGGGGGGCCCAGAGACCCCCAAAGACCCTTTACCCCCCCTCCAAGTCTCTTCTTCACCTTGACCCCCACTCCTGAAACCCCACTGCAGCCCTGCAGCATCCACACAATTGCCCTGTGTTTTCCCACACACACTTTGAGATCAATCAACACCCCTGGTTTGGGGTCCCCCGAAAAGCCCACTGTGAGGGGGTCTTTGTGAGTATGGGAGGAACTCAGGGTGTCTCTTGGTGAATGGGGGACCCTTGCGACAAGTCTTGGAGCTCATAATGGGGAGGTTCTAAGTGTATGGAGGATGCCTGCAGCATAGGGGGGTCTTTAGGAGTACAGGAGAGCACTGATGCCTTGGGGAGGGGTCTCTGGGGCTGCCTCCCCGCCACTAACCCCTTCCCCCCCCTCAGGTAACATGGTGCAGTTCCGCCGTCCCCGGCTCGTGGTGCCGCGGGACCCGCAGCCCTCCCACATCGCCCTGCGGGGGGGGACGCTGGTGCTGGAGTGCATTGCCGAGGGGCTGTGAGTCTGGGGGGGGTTGGGGTGTCGGGGAATGCTGAGGGGGTCCCTGTCCCGTCTCTGACGCGGGGACCCCCAGCCCCACGCCGTCGGTGCGGTGGCAGCGGCTGAACGGGCCCCTCCCGCTGGGCCGGGTCTCGCTGGAGAACTTCAACAAGACCCTGCGGCTGCGGGATGTGGAGGAGGCGGACGACGGCGAGTACGAGTGCGTGGCCGAGAACAGCCAGGGCCAGGCGCGGCGCAGCCACCTCGTCACCGTGGAGGGTACGGGGGGCGCTGGGAGCTGCTGGGGTGGGAGGTGGGGGGCACTGAGAAGTAAGCAGAGACGCTGGGAACTGTTGGGAGCCACTGTGGGGTGTGCTGGGGGTAGTGGGGGACACCAGCATGGGAACTGGGGGCACTGAGAGGCACTGGGGGGTGTATGGGGGGTAATGAGGGCCACCAGCATGGGAACTGGGAGGCACTAGGGGGTGGGGGGGGGTAATGGGTGCCACCAGCATGGGAACTGGGAGGCACTGGGGGGGGTGTGGTGGTCCCTGACGTCCCCCCTTACCCCCACAGCGGCCCCATACTGGGTGCGGAGGCCACAGAGCGGCTTGTTCGGGCCGGGGGAGGCAGCGCGCTTGGACTGTGCTGTGCAGGGCAAGCCCCGGCCCCTCCTCTCCTGGCGCATCAATGGCGTCCCCATCGACGGTATGGGGGGGGGGGGCTGGGGGTTACTGGGGGGTCGGGGTCCTTCTGGGGCTCTCTGGAAGGGATTAATGCATGGGGGGTGGCGTGGGGATCCCTAGGGATGCAGTGAGGGGATCCTCAAGGAATATGGGGTTGTCCCTGGGGGTGGGGTAGAGGGGGAGGTTGTGAGGGGATCCCCGGGGGTGGGGGAGAGTCCTCATCTTCAGGGAGGTGGGGGGCGGTCCTTGAGCAATGTGGGGGGATCCCCGGCTGTGGCGAGGTCCCTGGGAGGTAGTGGGATATGAGGGGGGGGTGGGTGTCCCAGGGGTGGTGGGGGGTCCCAGGGGCTGTGTGGGGGTCCTGGGACCCTGTGGGGCTCCTCACTGCGCCGTTGCAGAGGTGCCGGGCTCTGCTCGCCGTGTGGTGCGGGACGGGGCGCTGGTGCTGTCACGACTGGAGCCCAACGACACGATGGTGGCCCAGTGCGAGGCCCACAACAGCCACGGCCACCTCTTGGCCAACGCCTTTGTCTACGTCATAGGTGCGTGAGGGGTGTTTTGGGGGGGGGTGTAGTGACATGGGGAGTGTCCCGGCAGCCGGAACCCTCCCCAGCCCTCCCCCAGCCAGGGGGTTCCCCCGGGTACCCCCATCCCTGCAGCAACAGGCTGGCCCTGGCAGCTGTCGCCATGGCAACGGCATCCCCCTCCACCGCATCCTCCCTGGCACTGGTCCCTGTGGTGATGGCGTTGCCTT